ACACACACAGAGAGAAATGTATATGTAAGCAAACATTAAAATGAGCAACATGAAACATCTTACCTCAGATCTAAGGATAAAGTTTCTTACTCATTCTAGGAATCATCAATAGTACAAGACTAAAACTGTCAATTTATTATTTAAATTACTCAATCCAAGAGAATCTCAGACAGTTGATTTGTTTCTTGCACTCTGGTCTCAAAATTTAAACGATCCACATCAGAGGAGCTTTTCTAAAATCCAGCTGTCCCTACACCCTTGGCCCGTCCCTTTCCTACCTTATGCAGAGCGGGACCCATGACAGGGACGAGGAAGCCGTTGTGGAGGTAATCCAGAAGCTGGGAGCGAACCACGGGGTGTACGACCTGCACCACCGCATTGCAAAACTCAAGAGAGTTCATGAAGAGGACAAGCGACGACACGCCCATCCAGTCCTCCCGCCGCAAGGCGTGCCAGTCATCACCTCGCACCTCGATCTTCCTGGGCAGAGACGAGTAGAGGGCGCTGAGGCCCGTCGCCAACACCTGGTGTAAAGAGGGGAGGCTGATTATCTGCTGCTCAAACAGGCCAGCAGCTGATTCTGATTCATATCACGTTAACATTAAGATATTAAGTAGGTTTCTAATTGATTTGTGTTACAAAAGAGAGAAAAGAATCGCATAACAAGGTGTACAAATAAATCTGACAACAAAATAAGATAAAGAAAAGTTGTCATATAGATATCAAAGGGGCTCTTAGAGGGATTTTTGCTGCAACTCCATCTAAAACCATCAGACACAGCTGAGTGTGATGAGTGCAGAGATAGAAAATAGCACGAGCCAGACAGAGAGGAGCATTCGGTCCTCAACGCCACCTCCACCGGACCTTTTCAGCAGGAAGTAGGTCACCCTGATGCTGCTGGAAGCTAAATGAGCAGAAAAGAGCTGAACCAGCTCAAAAAGCACAATATGAAGCAGTGACCACAGTCAGAAACCAACTCTTTACTTTTATGCAGCATTTGTGACTAGTCTAGACACTGCAGTGTACGCGCGCGCGGCACGCACGCGCACACACACACACACACACACACACACACACACACACACACACACACACACACACACACACACACACACACACACACACACACACACACACACACACACACACACAGATGATTTTAAAATCTTTGAGTGGTGAACTGTTTCTAGCTCTTTACTTACATCTAGTGGCCGCTGGAGGGATTACAATACAGCAGGCAACCTCTGATGATAATCAGAAACAATAAAAAGATCTGTTTATACATGACGACGAGTCTGATTTAATAAAACCCTTCACTGAACAGCAAATATCTGCGCCATTATTTATTTAATAGCGTCTCTGCTACAAGGGTTTCTAAAAGCGTCCAAGCTGTTGTAACAAAAGCGGAGTGTTGCTCAGAGGCTTTTCTAGAAACGTCTCCTACAGGTAGGGATGTCCTGATTCAACTTTTTCACTTCTGATACAATACTGATGTTGCAGCCTTCAGTAGTGACGGATACTGACAACCATCAGATACGATATCAGCACCAATTCAATTCAAAGTTACTTTATTAATCCCAGAGGGAATTAATCATACAATTAATCATATACTTTTACCTATTTCGTCGTGTGGAACGTATGAAAGGCTTGATCAAGTGATATTACTCAGAGAACAAGAGCCAATAACAGTAAGTGTGAAAGAAATGACTACTTTTTCCTCACCATCGGTTGCAAAAATGTGAACCTTAACGGAGTGCTTATATCGGAGACTTTGATGCCGTCCGATATAATCTGATACGCTGTTTTGGGGCCGATATCGATACTGAATCTGGACATCCCTACTACAAGAATTATAAACTCTAATCTTTTCTTGCATTTTGCTCCTTTTGCTGAACATGTCTATGGTTGTCTTCGATGAGATCTGACAGTTGTAGATAAGGATAGATGATCTGCCAGAGTGCACAGTCATCTCCTTCCCCTTCCATTATCACGCACCATCGCTAACGCATCAGAACTAGACAGCACACATTCACATCCTCCTCCTTTCACGAGCAATGACAGGAAGCCAGGGTCCCACTTTGAAAACTGTTATACAACTAAAGAAGAGGGGAGATTCACTCCAGGTTTTAATAGAACTCATCTTTTAGATTAGCTTTAAACCTCTGTAACAGGAAACAGCGGGCCAGAGGTCAAAGGTTCCTGAAATCCAGACGTACAACTCCAGATAGGTTTCTGCGAGAGGCGTTACTCACCGGGCAGAAGTAGGAGTTTTCAGCGATGTATCGCGCCACAGCTTCATGGCTGGCTGAAGCCGCCATCACCAGCAGCAAGGCGTCTCGGGCCTGCTGTCCAATAGCTCCGTCTCGGTGGATGAACGGCACCAGGAGGGAGAAGATCAGCAAATTGGTGGAGCCCTGCTGAGCCGGTGCAGCATGGAACAACATCTCCAGAACCACTGGCTGCCGAGCCATGGAAACGCACACCTGATGGAGACATGACCAAAGAAACCTAATGAAAGATCAGAGAGCTGCACGGTGGCACAGCTGGTAGTTCTCGCTCATTTTAACTGATTAGGATCTTGAAGGTGAAACTAAACTTCACACAAAGCAGAAAGCCTGATAATGAAAACAGAAACGCGTCTGAACCACTAAACTGTTCCTCAGGCCGAGGCCAAACACTCGCACTCCCACACTTCCACTTTTGTGCGTTCCTGTCCAGGGGTGCGGGTGTACAGCATATCCCGATTCTCACATGTGGACATTGGCCACACCTCTTTTGCACCCTTGTAATACCAACAATCCATTTCTGCGTGGGAATTTTGAGAAGAAGGCAGAGGACTGGAAAATACGTCATTTCAGAAGTAAATATTAAAATACTGAATATTTAATTATGTGTACATCAGGGTATCTGCAGGTTTAAGGGAGCCAAATTCAAGACTTTTTAAGACCTTTTTAAGGACACTTTGACCAAATTTAAGCTATTTTTTAAATTTAATCTAAGCTATAATTTCCAGCTATTGCCTGGAACCGGTAATAACCACGTCGCAAACTTGGGATTAGCCATCCAGTTACCATTAAACTTGCACTTGCCCATGGCGCAAGCTCCCACTAGCTTAACCAGCTAATGTGCTCATCTAAAAATAGCCCCCTTTCACAACCAACTGAATGTGTACGGTTCCACTTACACCAACATCATACACAAAAAATGCTGAACACTAACTGGAAATTCACGAACATTTTATAGAAATAAAAGAATCTTGTTTATTGGGTCTTTGGTAATTTAAGACCGTTGGAAACTGTATTTAAGGATTATTTGTCATTTAAAGAATTTTTAAGGCCTTAAATTTGGAAAAGCAAATTTAAGACTTTTTAAGGACCCGCAGATACCCTGGTATACATATCATTACAATCAAATGTTTCTCTATCGGAAAGATGTCTGTTGAAAAATAGTGTTACCTGATAACGTGCTGGTGAGTATTTTAGGACAGGTCATGGCCGAAATTCGATTACTTGTTTTAAAATCATTTCGAGAAGCAAAGAAGCAGAAACAGTGATGCAGTAGAATGTGTCGATCTCACTGTCCTGCCAACATCTGCACACATTTACTACGCACTCGAAGCCTCACATGCACTTCCACCAAGAGCACTTCACAGAGGTGCACAGGCTGCAGACTACTACAGTTTTAACAGCACTGATGGTCCATATTATCACTGTGGCCACTTTGGGGTTTTTCCATTGGACGGCTTCAGCACATAACACCAGTACTTCCTCACAAACCAACAGTTTGCTGAAGTGTAGCAAAGGAGCAGAGGTGGGCTGTTGTCAGCATCGTGTTCAAAATCTCAGATCAATTAACTTTTACTCACTGAAGTAAAGCGATTACCGTAAACCCTCTAATATTGGCCTGTAATCCATTAACGGCCAGGTATCACATTTTGGCCGGTGTCAGTCGGCGGAGGTGAATAATGGTCGTTTTTTTTTATTGTGGCTGGGTGGAATGTGGTAACAGGCAAGTACCACGGGGGGGGGGGGGGGGGGGGGGGGGGGGGTCATCCGTCTCACTTTTGATTTGCCAGTGACAGACCGTGAGGGTAACTTTAACCGTGGCAGGCGCGGAGACGAAGAGGAGGCGAAAATTTGATATCAAGTTCAAAGAGGACGTGCTGATTATGCTGCAGAACACTCTGGGGAGCAAGCTGCGAAACGTTTTAACATCGACCCATCAAACTGGATGAGGATTAAACTGAATAGAATTACCGGTATTTTATTTTTTTACTTTAAACTGGACAAAGATTGAATTGAATTTGAGGGGTGTTATTTTATTTTTTACTACAACCCAAACGAGACGAAGCGATTCAACTTTGAAGCGGTAAGGTGGCTGTTGCCTTTTCTAATACCAGTATTTAATAACGTTTAAAATGCAGCAATGTTTGCTATTGTTTTGTTACAATACAGTATTTCCCTACTGTAATTTAGCCTTGTTGTTAATGTTTTATATGCAAACCGTACCACGTTATGGTAACTGTACATTGTCAATAAATGAACCTAGTATTTTATAGGTTCAAATAGACACACCCCGTTTTTATTCATTCTACTGGTAGTTCATTTTACTCAAATAGAAATTGAGGCCTGCCTCTAATTCTGACCCTCCTTCCAATAAAGGCCTGGAGCTTGATGAGCTTGAGTAAAATAAAGGCCCGGGCCTGTATTAGAGGATTTACGGTACGTCCAGTTAGCAGAAAAATAACTTAAGGTCTCTCAGGGTCAATCACACTAACTTTGAAAAACAGACAGAATTCTCTGGAGAGATTAAAAAAAAAACAATACTAAACCCGAGAAAGGCCCGACAGAGTTTCATGTACCTGGTTGAGCAGCAGCACTAAGCTGTTCTCCAAAGCTGGGGGACAGCCGAGCTCCGGGTCGGCACAAGCTCCCAGCAGCCTCAGCAGGGGGTGGAGGACGGCTGTGTGTTGCAGCAAAGGCTGCTGGGATTGGCCAATGAGCATCTCAAACAACTTGAGCAGAGCCCCTTGGCTGTCTGGGTCCAGGCCACGGCGGACGTGCCACTGAACTAGGCGCTCCAGAATATTCTCAGTGATGACCAGCTCCAGTATGGGGCCTATGGGGGCCCCGCAGGAGCCACTGTCTGCGCTCTCAGCGGGGCGCTCCTCTGCCAGCAGACACAACATCTGGTCGGTGTTATTTCTCACTGCTGTCAGGTCGTCGCTGAAGGACGAAGTGTCACGCTGCTCTAAAACCCAGGAGACCTGAAGGAGGGAGGGGTTTGCATGCTGTTAATAAAACATGACCTTGATTTTTATTTTTATTTTAGAAAGCTGCTTTTGATTCATGCAAAACACTCAGCATCATAAAAAGTCCAGATGTTCAAAGGAAGACAACAGCATGTATGACTGCATCATCCTTGTGGAGAAACCCGCCGGTGGAGAAAACATCTGCTGACTCAGGAGCTTCACCTTTACCAAAGGAACTCGGTGTCAGGGTGACTGTACACCAGTGATGATGGTGCAGATGTGGTGTGTGTGGAAAACAGAAGTGTAATCATGGTGTGAACTGGCCTGGAGCCCACATCAATAACCACCTCTGTGCTGGGAACCACTTCGGCTCCAGTTTCACAACAAAAGCTTGTACGTTTTCAGTTCTCAGGTATCTATTTATCAATAACAAGACTTCTTCATTCTTACTTCATCATTTTGTTAAGAAAACGTCTTTGAGCAACAGGAGAGTTACAAACTTCACCCATTTAGACCAATTCACAGAATTGTGTGGTTTTTACAAACGTAAATATCACAATCAGGAGCCAAGCGCACCGTTCCAGTACATCCTGGCAAAGAAATACCAGACAGCAGAATAAAGGGCTATTAAATTATGGGACTGAAGCCAGCAGGTATGAGCTCTGAGGGATGGTATGGTTGGTAGCTCATAAATGAAGCTGAAGGACATAAAATCTGCATTTTTACAATTTTACGAAGCTGAATGTGCTGATTAGACTTTTAAAAGCATAAATAAATGTTGCTAAACAACCAGGAATAACAAGCACAGCTGATCCACGTAAAAAATACGCCAAAGCTAACAAACATCGACTGTTTCCATGTAATTTCACTAAGTGTCTCTCATGAGCTCACCTGTCTCCAGTGGTTCTCAAACACCATGAGACATGTCTCTGGGTCCGCCGTGCAGGGACTGGAGGGAGCGGCGCTCCGGTTAGACCGGCTCCCAGGACCCCGTGGGTTCAACCGGCTTAGCCAGCTCATAGTTGCCCCGGTGGGAGGTTTTATCAACTCAGAGATCAGAGAGGGGAAATAAAGTTTGGGTTCAGAGGCAAGAGAGGGTAAAAATAACAGAAATATTAAGAAGGGACAAAAGGAAAGGATTAGGGACAGAGAGGAAGGAAGGGAGAAGAGGGGTGGAGAGGGGGAGGGAAAGTGGATGAAAACAGGGGAAGGCTGGCTAGACGGGCTGTCAGAACGGTGGACGTCTGGGAGAATCGTGGAATTAAGAACTGTGTGATCCTGTCCTCCCTGTGGACCCTGTCATCCAGTCTGTAGCCGGCACCACTCCATGGCCGGTCAGGAGGGACACGCTGCTCTGTGAAAAACAAACAGAGTCAATATCTGAGTGTAAACCTTCCAGTCAGGAGAATACGTCCACCTGCCATCACTCTTTCATGTAAAGCTCCGTTTTTTACACAAAAACGTTTTGCTTTGTTCATGTGAAGGAGCGACACTAAAATCTGGATGTTCTGTCAGGACAAAAGGGTCAACGCTGTGCTGTCAAAGCCAGTAGCAACCGCAAATGTGACAGAAACACCTTTTATTAACATTTATGAATCAGGAAACATAAATTAACCATGGAAACAGCAGGAAATGAACATTTTTCATGTAAACAAATGAATATTTTCTCTGGTCTTTCTGAAAAGAGAAGCCACTTTAACTAAACTCATTAAATCACAAAAAACATCTAAACACTCAGAAATCATCCATGCCATAGACTTTCTGTATGCCGTTACCACAGAAACCGTTCAGTCCTTTTGCAGAAAACGACAGCAAAAGTCCTGTTCTAGCTTACAGCTTTAAAAGCAGCCTCGCTTTATTTAGACGACGTTCCGAGAGGCTCACCTAGCTCCGAGCTAACGCTCAGCTGATCTAGTCGGCCTTCAGATGTTTAATCTAATTTAATTGGTCTTCGTTTGAATTAAGTAGTTTCACCTTTCAGGTTTTAACTTTAAATAGCTTTAGAGTTTGACTCGTTGAGCTCAAATTTGGTGTGATGAGGCTGAGCGAGTGAATTAGCACTTTTTTTTATTAGGACCAAAAATAACTTCCTCTTCCGTTACCAGCTGTTATCGACCTATAACACATTTTTATGCGTCCGTTCTCAAACTTATATTTTCGTAAATAATAATGTATTATTATTAATATTATTATGTAGCTTGTTTTTGTTATTATCCGTTTGGCCATTTGTTGTTCAGAATGTTCCACTTATTGGGCTTATTTCAGCCTTAATCTCTGGTGCTCACAAACCACTCAAAAATAAGACAACATAAAGAAGAAAGACATTTAAAAACACATGTAAATGAAGATCAATACCAAATCTACATTGTTTTTAGCTTTATTTACCATTTTATTAACAGAAAAGGCTTTTGAAGCTGCAGGCTGTTGTTTTTTATTATTTTATTCCAAAATATATAAGCAAGAAAATCCAAGTCAATCTTTCCTTTTTTAGTCTCTTTTACTTTTTTAAAATAAATATTGTACGCATTTGAATTCTACTCATCAGCTCAGCTCCTCTACTGAGCTTAAACTGATTTTCAGGACGTTCAAGGTTGCTAAAGTTGGAATGTTTGAAAAAAGGATCATTAATGGGACCAGCTGGATGAAATTTCACCTGAGAGGCAGAGGAAAACATTAAAGTAAATCGGCTGCATATGTGTGATTACTTACAACTAAAAGATGGAGAAACAACAGAATGTTCTTATTAAATCAAAAACAGGACTTTTTCTAAATCAGTCCGATTTTTTGTATTAATGCATTCATGCAGCAGCTGATCAAACACCAACAAGTCATTATGAAAAGCCACTTCCTGTCATGTATTTTTTTTAAATAAATCCCCTCCATTCTCATGCATGCATCTTTCAGTTACTAAAATAAAATGCTTAGATTATAATTGCAGAAACATCCAACGCTAAATGAAAATACAACTGCTGAACATGAAAACTTAGGTCTCAACATCGAGGTCTGAGCTCAAAGCTGCAAGAAATTCAAAGTGTGTTTAATTTTCAGGCCGTGTGTACACAGGGCATCATAAACTCCCATAAAGAGAGTTCAAAGTTCAACCCCAGATTCCACAAAAGGGAGGCTGCTTTAGTAAAGACAGCAGTGATCAGGGATTCAATATCCTCAGACTAAAGGTCGAACACTCAGATACACTCAGAGTGGTAATGTGTGACAACAGTCACAACGGAAAAGTTAATAATTCTGTTTATAACCCTTTTCACTGGACTCTGAAGAATAAGGTAACTTATGTGTGTTGGAGGTGACAGAAGCACTGAGCCGCAGCTTCCCCGTCCACAACAGGCTTATTTATTTACAGCTTAATCATTTAAAAAGGCTGATCCAACAGCAATTACAGACACTTGAACAAATTGCTTTATTTCCTGCAGCCTGATGTTTGAGATCTTGTAATGATATATTGTTTAAAGTTTTTCCAAATTAGTAAATAAAGAAAAGGAAACCAACACAAGAACTTTGCTTTTCTTGTACAATGACTATGATAGTTTGAGAGGCAATAATCATAAACTGTATTCACAGATCCTGAAGTGTGGCACACTAATTAGCTGATTTAATCTAAACATCTGTACAAACAGACAATAAATGTAAATAATTTAGTAAAAACACAACTCAGTTCAAAAGGAAACATCATCGCTTCCGTCTACTTTTGGATTATGGCGAGAACACAAATAAAATAAAATAAACAACTGATTAAAACTCTAATTAATTTAGTTTCCTCTTATTTATGGGCCAAAGCTGACAAAAAATAATGTGTAATTAAAAAACACAAGTAAACTGGGACTGTGTTACACACTAAGGGCACTCTAATTTGACCCAAGATGAGCGATTTATTTTAATGCACTGAGATTACAGATTATCTACCAGTTTCATGTTTCAGCCGCAGTTTAGAGAAAAGCCTGTTGACAGGTTCCCTCCGTCTGACAGACAGCTCACACACCTGAGTGCATTTCCACTAAACTGCTTTGTTTCTACAATAAACCTTATTTTAAAGTCACCATCCAGCATCTGTCAGATTTCTCTGTGTAATATATCAGTCAGAAAATAACCAATCAATGCGTTTCAGTTCTGAAATGGTGTAGCAAGCTAGGTGGACTAACACTAACCCAGACTTAAATATAATCGTACCAGTGAAACTGTTGTAGTTTATGGAGAAAGGTACCTTATTTAAATCCAGAAGTCTCAGCAGTTGTTGGGAGGTGCAGCTTTCCCCGGACAGCTAACTGCTAGCTGGGTGCTAACGCCTAGCAGCTGCTGATGAATTCCACAATGTCAGAGCAAAAACGCCTGAGTGGCACAAATACAACGCGGAGACCACTGATGAGCGACACCACACGGTTCTAGGGAGGCGAACAAATTAACCACTCCTTCTTTCGAACAGCTGTGCATCCTGTAAGCGACAGATAAACATCCCATTTGATGATTTCTCAAACACTCTTCCCTTTCCAGCAGCCATCTTACTTTGGCTCCTCCCACTCAAAAAGTGAGTCACAGCGACGCTCCGCACCGCTGCGCGCGCGCGTTAAAGACGCACAAATCCAGCTGCTTCAACAAGACGCACTCTCTTCTAGAAAGAGTCATTATTTAATGGGCATGGTAATGGACGGTCTTAATAGTAAAATCTGATATCTTGTTGTATAAAATCTATTTTATATTATTAAATGTATGTTAATGTTATTAATGCATGCACTAAACCTAACTGGAAAAAATATCAAAACAAAACCTATTTTGAAAAATTGGTGAATTATTATTATTATTGTTATTATTGTTATTATTGTTATTATTATTATTATTATTATTATTATTATTAGAATAGAATTCAATAGAATAGAATAGAATTTATTGATCCCACAGTGGGGGAAATTCACTTGTTACAGCAGCAGCAACACTTAAGAGAATAATTTGAAGAAAAAATAATAACAAAGGTACATGTATAGGCAGTAATCTAGAGTTGTAACCTGTGACCACTAAAAACCACTAACAAAAAAGGAAAAAACTTGGGTTCCAACAGTATGCAGCATACTGCAGGATATACTATGTAAATCTGGTACTGAACGGGTATTGAACACATTCTGAATATTACATTGGTGTTATTGTGAACCAGGATAATGCCAGTACAGCTTAGACTGAGGAGTTCTACACTCTTACTGCAGAGGTGGATGAATGGTATACGGTAGCGTTCTGTTTTACATCTGGGATGTTTCCGTCTGCCTCTGAAGGAGCTGTCCATGGTCTCCACAGTGGAATGCAGTGTGTAGGAGGGTTTTTATAAGATGGTGGTCATCTTCCTCAGCATCCTCCTTTCACACGTCTCTAGTGTATCCAGTGGGCAGTTCAGAATAGTGCTGAAACGAATCATCAAATGATTCGATTCATTAAATTCCTCGATTCATTTTTTGCTGATTCGAAGATTTGTTAAATGTGCGCTCTACAGTCTGAACACATTTACTGGCGCACCATGTGGTGATCTAGGTGCTGTGGAGGAAAATAGAGAAACCAGCAAAGACAGAAACCATTGTAAAATGCAGACACGGTGCAAAGTTTGAGATCAAGAGTTAAACTATGAGCATTGCTAATGCTAAGCTAGCGGGTACCATTATCACAGCAAGTGTGGTTCAGAAAAAACGTGACGGTTGTGAACGACTAAACTCCACAAGCGGAAGGAGAATCTCCAGCATCACGTTTATTTGTGGGTGTCTGCAGCGGTGTGGGGCGGATCCGCTGCAGCTACCGTCTGGTTGTTGCTACGAGTCTGCCATCTGCCGCAGAAGAGAGTGGCAAGCCGTCGTAGCATATAATTCACTAACACTTTTTATATTTCAATGCAATTTAGACTAGCTTATGTTGCCAAACAATTCATAATAAAATAAATATACCACACGTTCGTTGTTACAGTAGAAATTAAAGTTAGCATTTCCAGTGGCTTCTACTGAACATGTTAATGAAGTAATGAAATTCTACTCCTTATGTGTGAATATTTTTAGATATGTTACTTTGACTAGGATGAGGTCAACACACACCTAAATTGTGACTGAAATGTGGGTCAGATGTTGTTCCATAAAATATTTATTAACAATAAATATCAGCTGGGAGAGAGGGAACTAGACAACACTACTTTATTATATATTATTGAGCCTTTTATCATTTTGCTTTTTATTTTCATATTTTTACAGCATACCATGATCTCGTTTCAATTAAAACGTCATCAAATAGAGTACTCGATTAATCGATGGAAGATTTGATAGAATACTCCAATACTAAGATATCCAATAGCTGCAGCCCTAGTTCAGAACCAAGCTAGCTTTGTGAACTAGCTTGATCAGTCTCTTCCTGTCTCGGTCAGAGCTGCCTGCACCCCAACAGACTTATAATAATAATAATAATAATAATAATAATAATAATAATAATAATGCCTCCTATTAATAAAAATTGTAAAACTAAAATGCTTTGGTTCTTGATGTGGGATTAAGAAGAGATTAAAACACAGACATGTCATTTTACAAACTTTACATTTTAAAACTATGTTAATTTTGAATCTTTAGGCAAGACAAGGCAGCTTTATTTATGGAGCACATTTCAAGCACAGAGGCAATTCAATGTGTTTTACAATTATCAGGACATGATATAAAAACACATAAAAACACAAATTAAAATACACATAGATAGAATTACAGTTTAGAGCTAAAGGAGAAGCCAAGTTACAGCGCAGATTATAGTGGAGATGACGCATGAGAAAGAAACAATTCATTTAAAGGCTGATGAGTACATTATGGTTTTTAGTTTTGTTTTAAACAACACTAGGGTTGGGGCAGATCGGAGGTCATGGGGAAGCTGATTCCATATTGAGCAGAATAGTAGCTAAATGCATCTCCACCATGTTTGGTTCTGATCCAAGGTTCTACCAGCTGACTGTTATCTAAGGATCTCAGAGCACTGTTGGGTGTATATACAGGAATGAGATCGGACATGTATTTTGGCCCAATGCCATTGAGTGATTTATAAACTAGTAGGAGCACTTTGAAATCTATCCTGTAGTTTACTGGCGACCAGTGTAGAGATCCAAGAACAGGAGTGATGAGCTCCGTTCTCTTAGTTCTTGTTAAGGCTCCAGCAGCAGCATTCTGAACAAGCTGCAGTTGCTTCACAGCTTAAAAAAGACCAGTTAGGAGACCACTGGAGTAGTCCAGCCGACTAGAAATATGAGCATGAAGAAGTTTCTCTAAGTCTGGTCTGGACATGAGACCTCTGACTCTTGATATTTGATGAAGATGATAAAACACTGATTTAGTTATAGTCTTAAAATGTCCAGAGAAGTTTGGAGTCAATGATAACATCAAGATTTCTAATCTGTTTTTTTGTCTTTATTGATTCTTGCAAAAACTTTGATCTCTTTATTTGTTATTTATTTGTGTCTGTGAGGTACAGAGATAGATCTCTTTGGCTGTCATGGAGAAGCAAGAATTCCCAGAGCACTTGTGACATCTGTTGTTGTTTTCTTCCATAGAGACCAGCATCGCCAGGCAGTGCCGAGGCACACCTGCTGGTTTTTAATCAGACACACACCACTGAGCCACAGATAAACTTGTTTCAGAGTAAAGGCCATGCCCACTTAGGCCTAAAACTGTAGAGAATGGAAAAACCAGATAGTAATGTTAGAAACAACCAGTGGCAGAAGCTGCTCAAGTGGCATAATGGACAGAAAATGAATGAACGAGTGGACGGCGTGAAGAGTGAAGAGAAACGACACAACTGTCAGGACTCAAAGTTAAAATTTAAGTGAGTATTTAAAATGTTGACTCAATTCTGTAGTGGAAACACACATTTAGATCTGTCATCTGTTATCTGACAGCGACTTTTAAATGTATGTTTTGTTACCTCTGTTGGTTTTAAATGCCATTTCAAATTAAAGGTAAAATTAATCTCAGCTAACCATAATTTGTTGTTTTATAACAAGAATGTTTGTCAAATAAAACTTGTCTTGAATAAAATTTTTCATGATAACATCAGTGATTAATACTTCTTCTGGACAGACAGAAAGTGACTAAATTAATGTAAAAACAAAATGACTTCATTAACATTATGATGCATTTTTGAAAATTACTACTTTTTAGTGAAGATGTGACAAATTTCTGATAAATTTTCATTCTCTCTCTCAAACCTTCCCTGTCAGCTGGAAAGAGTGGGTGATTGACCCTGCAGACCATTTTTATTACATCTGGCTACAGGTCATGATAGTACCTGTTGTGTACAATGGGGTCATCATTATTTTAAGGTAAATAATTGCAGTATTAGGATTTTCCTGAATGTCAAATAATAATATTTTTCTAATGAGCTGATCAGACCTTTACGTGGTCTCACTGGTGTTTTTAATTATTTTGTCAGGACATGCTTCACTGCGATTGCACTGAACCTCCTTCCAGTGTGGCTCACCCTGGACTATCTGTCAGACCTCATGTATGCCGCAGACATGATAATTACTCTTCATACTGGTAAACACACTTTACTTGGCTCCCTTTCACCATTGAGACATCTCAGGGTTCTGGCTGCTAATTTTCAAAATTTTACATTCGTAGGAATGAAATTCTAGGCATAAAATGCTCATAAACATGAAAGCTGACATGTGAAGGCAAGGCAGCTTTTACGTATATATCCTTCTTATTTCCAAAAACAATAACTTCAGTCTTGTCTTTGCTTATTTGGAGGAAGTTTGACTGCATCCAGTCACTGACTTGTTCCAAACACTGACAGAGTGAGTCTAAAGGACCACAGAGTTAGGTAGATTTAGGTGTCATCTGCATAGCTATGATAGGCACTATTGGTATTGTGTATGACCTGACCCAGGGGGAGCATGTAGAGATTGAAGAGCAGTTGTCCAAGAAAATAACCTTAAGCAGATAAGGTTGTTTATAGTTGTGTCACGTTGTGAGCCAAGAGGAGGTTAGGACCCAAAGATGCAGAGATTCCAGATGACACAGGGATGGTAGAAATAACGTAAAAAAAAATCCAAAAAGGCAGAGAGCCAAAAACCAAAATCAAAAAGTCCTAATAACAAAACCTAGAGATATCCCAAAAAAAAAAAAAAAAAAAAAAAAAAACCCGTAAGAGACCAAGAGATACAAAATCTAGAGAGGGGAATGAGACAAGGGTGACACAAACAATGACCCAACAACACACTGAGACGCAGACAGGGTTAAATACACTGGGGCAGGATGAGTGGGAGATATGCTGCAGGTGCGTGGGGAGAGAAACCAAGTGAAAACAATTAACAGAGGAAAGTGAGCAGAGGAGGGGAAACCAACATGAGCTAAGAGCAAAAACAAAACCTAAAGACAAGAGCAAGCTAAATAACTAATGTTCTAAGGAGGAAGGAGAACTACAAAAACCGGTGGAGAAAGAAGCACACTAAAAGAGACTAATTAAATGAAAAGCTGAACCGTATAGAAAAACTGCAGAGGGGTGACTAGGGGAGACCAACGGGGGCACAGGACCTGGGAGGGATAACCTGGAGGGGCTGCAGACCAGGGGACACATGAGGAACACAAGGAGACACATAAGGGAGACTCAGACGCAGACCATGACAAGTTGTTTCTTAGATCCTTGGAGTTTACTTTATATTGTTCTGCTACACCAGCTGTACATCTGTTTGATATCAAATTCAGAAACAATCACTAGTAAATGCTGAAGCCCACAATTACCAATACAGTTACCTTTTCCATTGCTGAAATCATCCCCATCGGCACACATTTTAGCAGTAATAACTGCAGCTATGTCAAATACGTTTGCAGTAAAAATATGTATTCCAGTCAAGAACAGCCTTCAGTTGTTTCCACATATTTGTACGGGCGTGCCTGTTCATGGTGCGACAAGTCCGTTTGCTGCCAAGTCATTGAGTTGGAAGAAACTTGTGCAAACAGGAGTCCCAGTGATGATTCAAAATAAATGCACCAAGTGGAGCAAGACGTTGCCTTGCTAGCTAAAACACAGCTTCCGTCCAACGGCAACTCCACCAATTGAAGCATTCATTAAAGAAATGTTGTCTGTGAAAAAAATGGGACAAAACTATCAAACTGGATGGTGAAAATGAGCAAAAGCTGGAAAAACATTTCAGACTGGTATCACAGTCAGGTTTCCTGGTCAGTCATTTCAGACTCTCTGATGCATTTGGAGTCATTAGAAAAAACGGACAACCCCGCGTACGTCTTAGGGTTTTCAGAAACATGGGAACTGGGTTATGTGAAAATCCTGTGCGTTGTGCCTCAAGTGTTTTGCTGGATTTTCTCTGCAGGTTACTTGGATCAAGGTATACTGATCAAGGACCTGACTCAGTTGCGGAAGCGGTACCTGCACTCTAAACATTTCCTGTGGGATCTGGCCTCCTTGCTGCCTACTGACTTCCTCTACTTTGCAGTTGGCATTGAAATTCCCCTGGTGAGGATTAACCGCCTCCTGCGTATCCCACGGTTCAGCGAGGCCTTGGATCGCATGGAGACAAGAACCTCTTACCCCAATACTTTCCGCCTCACAAAGCTGATGATCTACATCTTTGTGTTGATGCACTGGAATGCTTGTCTCTACTTTGCCTTGTCCAATTTCATTGGCTTTGGAAGTGATCCATGGGTCTACCCAAACATATCCGACCCAGAATTTGCATCCGAGAGGCGCCAGTACTTTTACTGCTTCTGGTTCTCTACCGAGATTTTCACCACAGTAGGCGACACCCCCAGACCTGAGAGAGAAGAAGAGTACTTATTCATGATTGCAGACCTGCTAATTGCCGTCCTGGTGTTTGCATCAATCGTTGGGAACGTTGGCAATGTCATCACAAGCCTTAGAGACCGTGACAATGTCTTTTTCCCCAACCACGAGCTGGTAAGTTGTTCTGCCATTATAAAAGGTTTAAAAACAGTAATGAATCACATTTATTTCAAAATATTGCCAACTACGTTTTAGAGGAAACAAAGTTTTATCTCACTTAGGTAAAAGCGTACCTGCGCAGCCACCACATCAGCAAAGAGCTTCGACAGCGCATCGATGACTGGTATCAGCATCTTCACATCAACAAGAAGATCATGAGAGAAAATGAGATCCTGCAGCAGCTGCCTGTACACATGAGGACAGAGATTGCAGTCAGTGTCCATCTTCCCACGCTCTCTAAAGTGACCATCTTCCAGAGCTGTGAGAAAAGCCTGCTGGAGGAGCTGGTTCTCAAACTCACACCTCAGGTCAGGAAGGGGAATCTTCTGGGAAATATGAAATATTGCAGCAGGTTTGTTGCAGTTTAAGGAGTTTGTGAATCAAACCGTGCTGAACTTCCAGATCATGACTATAGAGCTGGAAATGAGGATGAGGTACCATTCAAAGTGAAATAAAACAGATTTGTAATATTTTTAACTCAACAGTCACTATTCCTACCTACAATACATCTGCTTCTCACAGGAACAGTATGCAATGACTCACAGCTATGACACATGCTTGTTGCTCTCCAGAGGAGATTTTTCAAGGCTTTTATCTTGCAGGTGTTTAGCCCAGGAGAGTATGTCTGCAGGAAAGGGGATGTGGGCCATGAGATGTACATCATCAAAGAGGGGAAACTTGCAGTCGTAGCAGATGATGGGGTTACAGAATTTGCTGTGCTGAGTGCAGGAAATTTCTTTGGAGAAATCAGCATCCTCAACATCAAAGGTAAGAAGAGTGTTGCTCATTGTGTTTAGACTCAAACGGCGTCTCCTGGAATTTTTCAAAATATAGAAATGTGAAGAGCATCATTTACTGACAATATTAAATTATGCTGAATCAGTTTTTATCTTGAAAGGTAAAAATCATGTTTCTCTGATTGACTCAATGGAGGAAAAGCAAAACATTTAATTAAAAAAAAGAGAGATTTTACTCCAAAAGGCAACATTTTTGTGCAGGAGTCTGAACTAATCATGAATATTCAGCTATAACTTTATTAATCCCTCTGAAAGTATTAAAGATTGTTTCGAGTCTGTTATGATTGCTTGTACATATTGTACATGAGAACAGTCCTTTGTCTTTGTGTCTGTTTTTAGCCTATTTTTATCTTGTTTGTTGTTATCTTATCTGTTGTTGGTGTAAACCTAATTATTGTCACGACGTGCCGGTGAGTGGAACGGAGGTGAGGATCCACACGCTGGGGAGGAATCAGGCAGGTAGACAAACTGGGTAACGTAAAAGGTTTTAATAACAAACGCACGCAGGACATGGGAACAATGAGCCAACAAGAGACACCGAGCTGAAGGGGTTTAAATACAAGAGGGCTGGGAGCTTGGGTGATTGGAAAACGAGAGGCAGGTGGGAGCAATTAGCAGAGACACAAGGCTGAACAGAATGGGGGGACAGGACAGGGTGTGACAATTATGCGTCTGTTGCTGCTGCCTCTGGGCCAGATCATGGTTGTAAATGAGAATGAGTTCTTACTCGACTCATCTGGATAAATAAATAAAAGTTTCTGTTATAAGTGGTGCCACATTGACAGAAAAAAATGGGAATACCAGAACTATAATAAAAAAACTAATATATTGGAAGAAATTATGGAAAAAAGGGGAAAAAATCAGCAGTAATCACATCAAATCTTGATGCTGCACATTTCACATCCTGTGGTCCATTGCACTCTAAATATGTTTGTTGTCCGGGTTGTGGTGTTAGGTGATGCAGTAATATTTTTTTTCCACAAACTTTTATTCCATCCAACAAGTAATGTTGTTAAAATAACATTTTCTTGATCATGCAAATAAATTAATCAGTTACATATTTTTATAATGCTGCTTCCTTTGTTGTATAATTGGTTCTAACTAAAGCAAACAAGAACTGGTATAGATGTAAAATACAATAAATGTTTTATTCAATAAAGGACATGCTAGAATTCAGAACCGAGCTATTCACACACACACACACACACACACACACACACACACACACACACACACACACACACACACACACACACACACACACACACACATGGCAGCAACTCATCATGCTTTAGAAAGGTTTACTTTGCTTGTTTAGAGATTTTGCAACAAAACAGCTTCATTTTAAATATAAAAACTATTCAATAAAGCTGTGTGATTGGAGGCATAAACAACCAACCTTTGGGTGTGACTGAAAGCTAAACCAGTCACTCTTTTCTTATGCATTTTGTTTTACCTGCTCCTTGGCAGCATCAGATAATATAATCCAGCTACAATTCAGACAATCCTGGTAAGACGTGGTGAACTCTGAACGTTTAATCTCCAGTTTGTGCTGTTTGACTAAAAAGAAACTTGAATCTGAAATAGTTTTTGAGACATTTTACAAGTTCAAATTTTCTTCAGGTTAGAGCACCATTTATATCTTCCTGTGATGTGCAATATCAGCTAAGATGCTTAACTGTTTCATTTATTTATCATAAAGTAGCAAGTTTCTTTATACATGAATTAATCATGACTGCATGGCCCCTGTGCACACGTATACGTCTGCACAGCAGCTCGTCCGACATGTTTTAGGTTTGAAAACAAACTTCTCCAATACTTCATTTAGAAAAAATCTTACATCGGGTTAAAAAACTCGGGTGAGTCACAAGAAAGAGCTCTAAACTGAAATAAAATAACACAAATTTAAAAGACATTCAGCAGTATCGGTTTTAGATTAACTGAGAGGAAGAAAGCTGTCAGATGTGTTTTCAGAGCTGCTCTCCACCAAATAATGACTTTGTTTCACCTTTTACTATCATTTAATTATTGAAAAAGTAAACAAAGGAAACAACACTCATAACATTTCAAACTGTTTTTAAGTTAGTTGTCATTGTTCCTAAATCTGTCCTTAGATAACGTTGTACATGTTGTACAACGGCAGCTCCAGTATGTCGGATTATAAATCCATGATAACATGTTTATGCTTTGATGTTTCCTTCATCAGCTTGTCTTTTCATGAACAAAACAAATCCAAACAGCAAAATGTGCATCTTTGAAAATTTACAATATCATCTGTTCAGATGTGCAGCGAGGGAAGTCTCTGAAACCAGAGTGAAAAGTTCACCTTTGCATAATAATGATGAAAGTTGGTTTTATATCTTAAACCAAGATGCAAACTAATTGCATCAATCAAGTTTGAAATCCACGTATTTCTCCTGCAGGTAACAAGTCAGGCAATCGTCGCACCGCCAACATCAGAAGCATCGGCCACTCGGACCTCTTCAGCTTGTCTAAAGAAAACTTGACAGATGTGTTGTCTGAGTTTCCTGCAGCCAAACGTCACCTTGAGGAGAAAGGCCGACAGATCCTCATCAAGATGGGCATGCTGGAGGTGGGAGGAGAGGTGGAGGAGGTGGAGGCTGAGAAGGTTGAAACTAAGATACAGAGGCTGGAGAGCAACGTGGAGGCCCTGCAGACAAAACTGGCTCGTCTCATGGTGGAATTAGAGTCAAGCAACCGCAGGATGCAGGCCAGAGTGGAGCAACTGGAGCTGCAGGCCGTGGCGCTGCAGACTCAGACATCAGACGATGCACAGGAAGGAGGAGAGGGGAGAGATGAGGGGGTGGGAAGAGAGTGTGAATGGGAGCGAGAGGAGGCAGAGGGAGAGGAAGATTCAGATATAAAGATGAAAGAGCAGGGACATGATGATAATGTGTTCAAAGAGGGGGATGGAGAGAGCACTAAAAGTTCTAAAGAAGAGACTGAAAGAGCGGTGGAGGGAGATCAATGTGGCCTGAAGGAGTCAGATAGTCTCGAAAAGGCAACAGAGGACGCTGGAGAGGAAACTGAAAACAAGGAAGACGACGAGAGACCCGGGAAAGGGGATGGAGCTGAGATTGAAACTGGAGATGGAAAAGGAGAGAAAGGTGAAGAAGCAGAATCTGAGGAGGAGATAACACACGCTGAGGGACAAGAAAAGCAACCTGACAAAGAAGCACAGTAGTGAGAGGAAAGGCAAAAATGTATTTTTGTGTAAGTTATTCTGTTTTTGCATGTAAATGCTGTAAAACACAGCTGCCATGGTTGCTGCAATACATCTGATTTCCACTGGATGGCAGCATCGCTTCCTGTTTAGCTAGATGTGTGGCATATACAACTGACACCAGTGTAGTGAGCTTTTTGATTAAGGAGAAAAACCAGCATAATCCTCTGGAGAAACGTTCTAGTTGGACTTTTGTAGCTCACAATTTTCTTTTTGATAAAACATTTTTTTTAAATCTCTTAAAAAAACAATGGTTTATGCAAAACCTAAATGTCAATAAATAAAATAAAAATTAATTATTAGTTTTATTAAAAATTAAAAAAAATCTAAATACCAAAAAATGTAAGTTATTTTTTAAAGAAAGTTATTTTATCTGCATACACAAAATACTTTAATAAATCTTTTGTGTTACCGGTCACCATTGGGCAGGCATCATCTGTTGCTGTTTTTAAAAAGTTATTGAAGACTTATTTTTACTCCAAAGCTTTCAACACCTTGGGGTGACAGGGTGGTCCTGGTTTTTTGACTCTTTGTGTCTTATTTCATTTTTGTGCTTATTTTATGCTTATTAATTGGCTGTTGTCATTTAATTGTATTTTTAATTTTTTTAATGTTAAGTACTATGGATGAACTGGAAAAACGAGAAGATGGTGAAAATGTCCTTCTATTTCAGTTACCCAATTTAGACTGAGAGACCATCTAAAGGCTCAGGAACCATAGGTGTGGATTCATTTGCTGAGTGTAGTGTGACACTGAGCCTGGAATAGAATAGAATAGAATGAAATAGAATAGAATAGAAGTTATTGATCCCACAGTTGGGAAATGCACTTGTTACAGAAGCACAAACACTTAAGAGAATAATTTAAAGAAAAATAATAACAAAGGTACATGTATATACCCAGTAAGCTACTATTGTAAACTTCAATCACTAAAAACCACAAATATAAATTTAATTTGAGTTGCAGAACTTTGCAGCCGCCAGTAAGGGACACAGATATGTAAATTCCAATAGGTGCCATTAATACAGGTGGAGAACAGAGGAGCCTCTTATCAAAGAAGTCTGTGAGAGCCAGAAATGTTGCTTGTTTGTACGAGACCAAATACTTATTTTTCACCATCATTTCTAAATAAGTTCTTTAAAAATCTGATAATGTGATTTTCTGTATTTTGTTTCCTCATTTTGTCTCTCATAGTTGAGGTATACCTATGATGAAAATTACAAGCCTCTCATCGTTTAATGGTGGGAGAACTTGCACAATTGGAGGCTGACTAAATACTTTTTTGCCCCACTGTACATATGGGACAGCAATTACCTGTCTTGTCTGTTGGCTACATTGTAGCCACTGCTGCCCTGGGGCACACTGACAGAAGTGAGGCTGCCATATGCACCATCAGTCCCTCTCACCACTAGCAGCAGTAGCAAGGAGGGTGAAACATCTTTGTCCAAAGACACAGTGGCCCAATCCCAATACCTGCACTTCCACTTATGCCCTTCAATTGAGCAATCCCAATCAGGGGTGTGAGTGTGTGTCCCAATTCTCAAGTGAGGAAGTTGATCATGCCCCTCTTGCACCCTTGAGCTGCACTTTACCCAAGTCTGTATCGATTTTTTAATGAAAGTAGTTTTTTTAGGATGATTAGTTGATGCTCTGAAACTTTTAGACAAAGTAGAAATGGATGTAAATTTATTTCAAAGAATTGTTGTTTATTTGTTTAAGTTGTAAATAAAGTTGTTTTTTTTAATTATCACAGCGACCAGCATCCCGGCATGCACTGCAGTCAATATGCTGCCTGTCTCAGTTCGGCAATTATTTGCACACTTATGTACCACTTGAATCTTAATGCACACTTCTTCCAAGTGCACTTTGATGAAGACCGCAGGGTGCAGTGCGAGTACTGGGATTGGGCCAGTGACTGCAACAGACTGAGCAGGGCATGAACCTGCAACCCTCTGGACGGCCACTTAACTCCTTTGCCACAGTCAATAGCAGAGGTGTGACCAAGTCACTGCTTTGCAAGTCACAAGCACCAGATACTTTTAGTAACCAAGGAAGATCCACAGACAGTCTACTGTTGTGTTTAAGTGTAGTGTAGTGACAAGTTACTATCTGGTATGAGAAACCAGACGATTTTTTTTACACACATTCAATTGGGGCCACAGTCAAGGTTACACACAGTCTTCTGGGAGAGCCCCATGAAACGAGGGGAGATTTGTTGTGAAGTCATCTGTCTGATTGCCTTCAATAAAACTTTACGTGTGTGTGTGGGGGGGTGGGGGGTGGGGGTGGGGGTGGGGGGGGGGGTTAAAGGGTACACACAGCGTGCTCGAAATATGTCCCGGTGCACTGAGTCCATGTAAATAATGTAATATAAGTTGAAACTGGATCAATTTCAAGGCTCCACCTTGGTGTGTCTGTTGAGGGCTTCAGGGGAGCCCATCACCCTTCTGGGGGAGCCGGACTAGTGCTTTGTATTGTTTAATTTTATTGTTTTCAGTAGTTATTATAGAGTCTCAAATCAATATAACACAAATGTATTTCACTTTTATCACTTTAATTCATTTTTATAGAACTTGTCAACAATTGTAAATTATTATAATATTGACAAAATAAATAAATAATATTTATTGTAATGTATTATAATATTAGAATTAATATGTCATGATAATAGTTATTTCAATTCAATTAAAAATGCTTTATTAATCCCAGAGGGAAATTGATTAGTGATTGTAATGCACTTCATTCAGGATTAATGAAGACAAACGTTTTTATTTCAGATTCCCTAAAAAAAGAAGAAAAGAAAGAAAGAAAGAAAAGCCTGGCCCTTTAATGACGCACGGTTACGTACATCCCGGACATGCAGTGGGCATACAGGCCCCATCGATTCAACTCAACTGCACACATAAGCACTTGCTAATAATAAAGCCTAGTTTGTCATTTTCATGGAGTTCTACCGCTAACACACATGGAGAGTCAAGAGGAAAAGCCAATCATCTATACCATGGAAAACAAGCCGATAGTAACATGTGAGTTTGGGATATTATTTCTTTTCCTCATGACAGCAAGCCTGTAAGCTACATTCATTAGCTCGTTGCTAAGCTAGCTGCCTGTCACCCTCAGCCCATAGAGACTGCGTGTTGTCTGTAGTTCCTTTATTTCTACCAGCTCGACTGTAATGCCTGCATGATATCTGTGTCACCGTATAAACTAAATGTTCTTGTAAGACGAAGTTTCTCTCTGCTAGCTTGTAGCTTTGACTGTTAACGGGCCGAGTTAACGATACAACGTCACGTCTACTAGTTAGAGCTAATTTAGTAAGGATACCAGCCTGTTGTTCCCTGGTTGCAGCAACACATTCCCTGTTACCTGCTCAGACACGAGTCTTTACGTGATGACTTGGACCGGGACTATGTTACCATTCAGAAATCTTGAGAAAGCTTTTTGGAGAGGTTATTTTAGGAGTGGATGCCAGCTGCTTCTTTACTCCGCAGACTGCTCCATTTTTAGCATCCTTACCTCAGTGCATGAGTTTACAGAGGCACAGAAATTAAAACACGAGCAGGAATACAGCGTGTGTTACAGTTTATCATTGTAATTTTGTGATAGTTAAAAAAGGGAGGATGCACTGCACCAGGTGACTTTGGCACACCCTGAAGATTTATACGCTGTTCTGCACGATGTGTTCAGAAATTACTCCCAACTTTCCCCGCCGAACTCAAACTACTGCAGCAGATATTTTGACAGATCTTGACTATTTTTATGGCACATTCTTGTGTTTAAGGGTTCATCTGCAGACCCAGATGAGCAAGTTTTCGCTCCATGGCTACTGAAAGCCTCATTTATTTCTTTAAAGTAGAACAATGCACTTTCCACATTCTTCCTGATGATTTTAATGTAAGTTAAGTGTGGAAAAATCTGACTGAACATCCCTTTTAAAGGGTGAAATGATGTCAGCATGTGCTGACATTTTTACTATTGCATGTTGTAAAAATGTAAATAACATTGCATCTTGGACTGGAGCATAAATGTGCAACACTTTGCTTTGCATTAGCAGCAAAAGGAGTATTTGACCCTGTGTGTAGATGTTTGCCTTGCTGGGCGGTATTGGATATCAGCTTTTGAAAGCTTGTGAGAGAGCATTCAAAGTTCAGTTTTGTTTGGACATGTACTGATGCTTTCAAACAGATAATCTACATGTTGAGCTTTTAGCAGAGCTGCAGTTGTTTTCCAATATGTTTTTTACTTGTCTGAGTTATAGCATTAAATCTGACCAGATTTTGCCTAACAAAGAAACGTTTATACTGACAGTTATGATATGTTAGGATAGTTGTAATTTGTTACTGTGTGATTATCTTTTTTTATTGAATCTTTATTTATACGTGTATGCATACTGACAGTAGGATAGATGCAGTCAAGATATTGCTTACTGCAGTTAAAAGTGAGGCAGGTTTCCAATGCATCCTTTCCCTTTACCTCAACATAAACTAGCCAGTTTCAGGTCCAGGGGTCTCATTTATAAAACATTGCGTAGATTCCTTACTAAAACCGTAGGGGTGGACCTTTAAAGCGCCCGAGCGCCAATGGCGCTAAATTTTCTCGTCGGGCGGTAAATACTTGACGATTTACCGCCCGGGTGGCGCCCAAGCCTTGTTAGTCATTTACACACCGGCTTTCACCTACATCATGGCCGCGCCCTGTAGGAAGCCGCCATTTTCGTTTAGCGCGCGTGAACCTGCGCGCCTCTAGCCACGTACTGCACTTGTACGATTCGTGCACGTACTGCACGATTCTAGTTATAGTCACGTGAACTGTAAGTTCACTATTAAAGACGAAGTGGAACCACGCTAGAAACACACAAGCACGCAGGGAGATGGCGCCGCCACAGGGATGGGATTTCTTGATGAAATCTCCGGCAAAACGCTTTAAAACTGGTGAGGAGGAGCGAGACAGTTCGAAACTGTATGAAGCAGAGAAGCATTTGCGTAAGTGGAATGATTCTTGGCGGTTTAAAGAAGACGGGAGGCGCAGAGAATGGCCGTGTTCGAGTTGATCAGCGCCTCGCCTGGAGAACAGACGAGAGCAGACGGAAGCAGCAGGGGGAGTGGCTGAAAGCCAGAGTTTAAGTCGGACAGATTTCCCTGCATGTGTAGCTCACGGGTGACGATGGCTGAAGATATCGCGTTAGCGTTCACACTTGTTCAATTTTAATTCTGGTGCCTGTTAGCAGCTGAAACACATCCTCACGTGCTTGTGGATATCATATATTGTATATGAAGACATGACTGTAATAATAAGTAAAGGTTATCAGCTGTAGGTTTAGTGTGCTCATAGGAAACGTGACAAAAGAAAACAAAACACATTTCTCTTTATGGCCCATATAGTTGTCATCATCAACGTAACATGATTTACAGAATACATGTGACCAACTAACATTTCATGTTCTACCACCGGATGTTTGGATCAAAATATGAACCAATCAGATCTTAGATCAGGTGAGAGCCAGGCGTTTCCAGTCATCTAGGTTTTGCAGCCGAGGGAGAGCAACTGCAAGCCTTGCTCCAAAATCTGCGGCCGCCTTGATCTCACGAGTTTATCGTTGCCTACGTATGCATGACATCAGAGCAAGTCGGCGTCAGGTCGGACACAAATCTAACCGGCATGCACTGCTCGCCGATCACCGCTGGTCTAATCTGCGCAGAACTGGCTCATCTCGAACACGGCCAAAGGCTCGAGTACAGCAAAGCGGAGTTGGTGATGTACTGCGTTGTATGCCAGAAGTATGCGACGACAAAATCGAGTTTTGTTGAGGGAATAAACAAATTCAAACTTGAATACGTTATTGTGTTTGTGAATGTGTACAAAATGAAGGTTTGTTACATTTAAAACGGTTCAGTTGTTATTTTGACTCGTTTTGGCAGCTGACCAGCGGGGCCGGTAGATTCTTGGTGGGGCCGGTAAATATTCAGAGTTACTGGCCCGGCTGGCCGGTTGGTTTTGAAGTTAATGTCCACCCCTGACCGTACTTAAGCTCAGCAAAAACAATGTACTTATGCCAAGTAGGTTTGTGATCTATCAAACATGGAGTACGCACAGCTGCACGTAATCTCCGCTTCATAAGTCAGAAACTATCTAGAAAGTTTCTCAGCTGCTTTTTAGTCACATCTCGCCCTCAACACGCCCACTTTCTGCCATAAATGGTTGATGCAAAGTGCCTTGTGGACCTCATGCATAAACATAAGCCGGCTTGTTGCAGCATTTCGATCACGACCACAGATCAAGGAGGCGCAATTTCACACAAGCAGAAATTGAGGTACCTGTGGGTGAGGTGGAGAAATGAAAGGAAGTACTTTCGCAAAACAAATAAGAGAAAATCCACGGAGTGGCACAGCGTTGCTGAAGCCATCAATGCTGAGTTCTTCAGAGAGATCTGTGGCTGATATAAAAAAAATGATCCGATCAGGATTCGATCCCCAGACTCCCAGGTGAAAGTCACGCACGCTAACCAGTCAGCCAAACGGAGATCTCCCCTGTACAAGTAGCCAGGGCGCATGATCAATCGGGTCACAGTGACAGGACACACACTGTCACAGACACATGACATTCTGTCTCAATCTGCTCCCCTGCTGGTATTCTGCATTCCATATTCTGCGCTTCAGGTTGTGTGTGTGTGTGTGTGTGCGCACGCGCGCGCATGTGTTTGTGTGAGTGTGCGCGCATGTGTGTGTGCGCACGTGTGTGTGCGTGTGGGGGGTATTGTTCTGTGTGAAAATGAAGCAGTACGGGAGATAATGCTGCAGGATTTCATAATTTTATCCTTCTCAGCAGCAGCACTGCAGGTGCTTTCTATGTCCTAAATGTGCGTAAGCCAGGTCCTTAGTCAACTCAAAGTTGCACACATTTTTCCGCTAAGTTTTCTTTCATAAATCCCAAAGTTAGCGTGGAAAGTTGCTTACGCAGTTTTCCGACCCCGTTTTGTGCGTAAGCAAGCTTGATAAATGAGACCCCTGATGATTATTCCAAGAAAAAGGGACAAGTAGAAAAATGCCTAAATTCCAAATGCACCATGGGTAGTTTATGTTTATGTATTTAGCAGACGCTTTTGTCCAAAGCGACTTACAAGTGATAATCGGCATGTTGTCCTTGAGGCTAACAACAACAACAATAACATCAACAGCTTGACATCAATCATGGAGAGTAGGGATCAAGGAGTGGACAGTAGAGAGGGGACGGGTGCAGGTAGGGTGCTAGTTTAGAAGATGCTCTCTGAAGAGCAGGGTCTTCAGGAGTTTCTTGAAAATTGAAAAGGAAGTCCCTGTTCTGGTAGTGCTCGGAAGGTCATTCCACATTTGTGGAACGATGCATGAGAAGAGTCTGGATTGTCCTGAGCGTGGTGTAGGCACTGCTAGCCAACGATTCTGTGATGACCGAAGCGGCCGGGCCGAGACGTAAGCCTTTGCAAGAGGATTCAGGTAGATGGGAGCCGTACCATCTCGGACTTTGTATGCTAGTATTAGCAATTTGAATTGTATGTGTGCTGCTAGCAGTAGCCAGTGGAGCTCAATGAACAGAGGGGTGACGTGTGCTCTTTTTGGCTGATTGAAGACCAGACGCGCCGCTGCGTTCTGGACCATTTGAAGAGGTCTCACAGTACAGGCTGGAAGACCAGTTAGAAGGGCATTGCAGTAGTCGAGGCGGGTAGTATAGGGAGATAAGGTCAAGTATAGTTTGTGGTTCGTTATGTAACATATAGGACCAAAAATAAATTGGCAAAAGGTCAAGGATGGGTTCATGAAATTAAACCACTGGAAAACTCTGAGCATACAGCATGTTTTGGCTCTTAGTACTCCATGTGACCAATGTTCTTAGACATCTAATGGGCTAAAAAAATGTCATCATACTCATTCAGGATGTAAAAAAGGGTGACAGAAAAAAGCTCTTTCTCACTGCCTGAAAAACATTTCTTGTAAAGAAAAACAATTGTAACGATACGATAAAACAATTGTTTTCGCTTTTTAAGTTGTTTATGGGACTTAAAATGACAATGTGTAGTTTTTACCATTAATCTCTGGGAATATCCACCCAAATGTCGAAAATTAATTAAATTATGCCCAGTTGTTGAAAAATATTGGCGCAATTTGGCAGCTTCTTAATAAAAATCAGGTCTAAAATGCATTGGAGCGGGTCTAAGTCTCTGGGAGACGGCATATTAGACGCCATGTTTCCTTCTACAGGAGCCCGTGAGGACAAAATGCATTTACTGATTAGTAAAAAATGTTAATGAAAACTAATAAAACTTTCGCCATTCATAAACGTTGTTTTGAGGTCTCCGTTTATTCTAATGCATATACCAATGCGGCGTTAGAGTGATGAGATGGGATGTTGCTGGCACTCTACTGGTGTCACATTTGACCCCATCCTAACTTTAACCATCTTGCTATTTCTAATGGCGCTTACACATTAGCGTCGGCACGGTTGGGGTTTGGTCGGGCTGGATGGCGTGAGTTCGGTCTCGAATGGGTGGTGTAATGTTCACATTTAAATCTGAGGGCCCTTCTGAGGAATGCAAAAATCCCCGAGTTTGTGGGCGGCGTTTACTACACGCGAGAAAGTCTGCGGTGTCCTCCATTATTAGATAAACAAAGGCTGGCATGAGCCGTGTTGCATTTGGAGACTCTGAACCACATTATTATATTAATTTGCTGTTTGTGTCTTCATAATCTTGTGCCACACACACTGATTTCTCCCTTTAGCAGCTGTCTGCTCGCCAGGGTAAGAGCTCCGATGTAGAGAACAGGCTCACGCACAGAGCTATTCTCTTCTCCCGTTCCCACACTGAACGGCAGCTCCGGTACAACGGCGCCATGCTACGGACAGAAGTCTACCCAACAGCATGAAAATGAATTGCGCATGCGGGAACCCCTCTGCTGGCTCATTCTTCTCGCAGATCGGAGGCGGTAGGCGTAATTTCAGCCAGCCAATCAGTCTGTAGTGTTGCCTCAGTCCCTGTCTGACCGCTGGGGAGAAGGTCTGAGAAAAAGTCATCTGCACCGAAAACACAAATCTGACCGGTGTGTGAAACCAAATTCCCGTGCCATTTGGCACATTTTGGGGCCGCGCCGACGCTAATGTGTAAGCACCATAACCTTCCCCTCACTCCCATCCTAACGTTAACCCTGTTGCTACCTCTAACCATCCCCTCACAGTGACCAGGTGTTTCTGTTCCACGCGTTCGGACTGAGTGTGTTGGTTGGGGCCCAGGCGAGGGGGAGGCTCCAACTAGCGAATAGGTTAAGGTTAGCATGGGGCGAGGGGAAGGTTAGAAGTAGCAAGAAAGTTATGGTTCGGATGCGGTAAAATGTGTGTGGTCGGTACGGCCCCAGCGGACATCCCATTGCGTCACTCTGATGCCGCATTAGGATTTGCAGTCAGAAAAAGCCATACAACAGTGACGAAAAAGGGTCTTTTCGGCGTAGGTGTCTGACGCGGAGGTCGTTACCGACGTGCTGGGAGTGAGAATGTGTACTATACTGTACAATACTAATAATCACTTAATTAAAGCACAAATATGTCATGGATCTATAATCAGACATTTCTAAGAGCTATAGGAGAGGACATTAAGTTGTTTTTTAATTGTATTTGTACTGATGTACACTGATCTTGTGCTTCAGCATTTGAGATCATCTTTAAAAGCGAAGATGTTTATTCTCTTTAGTAAGAGATCTGCTGCACAGAAAGACCAAATGTTTGGTTTTTATTTTCATTTGAACTATGATTCAGTTTTTTTAGCCGACGGGATATTTTTGTAGGCCAATAAAAAATAACTGTGTCCTTTATTTAAAAACACTGTTATTATCCCTGATCTGTTTCATGACTGTGGTGATATGTCAAGCAAACCCTCTGTGAGGTATTTTAAATGCTTGTTTTGTATGTTTATTTTAGTCTGAGGTAATCTGGTCACCTCTGAACTCCTCTCTGCTTTGTAGTGTTTGAGTTTGTAGCTTTAGCTAGAGCGGGCCTGGTCTGAGCCCTCTGACGACAGCATAAAGAAACGGTGACCAGAGGGTGTATTAATAGCACTTATTCAAACTTCTGGGTTGGTTACATTAGTTACAGCTTTCGAGCAGTTTTCTTCCTACTTCTTTAAACCTCTCTGAAAACTGGATTTGTCAGTTGGTCTGTGTGTGTTTATTTTTTTTGCAAGAAGCTCCCTGAAGCAACGCAACAGAAGAATGCATGAATCTGTTACCTCACACATCATTTCCAAGCTTTCTTTTTCTTTTCCTGAGCAGGCATTTGCAGTCGGAAAGCAGCAAATGAATACGTGTTAATGTTGTTTTTTCCCTTCAAAGATCACCACAGGGAATCATCTGTCTTGATTTAGTCCCGTTTCCTACATTCTCTACCTTCACACCAGCTAACTTCATGTTCTTTTTCACCACATCCATGCAAACCAGAAACATTAGACAAATAAATTTAGGTTTTTGTGATTTTAACTTTGGTGAAATGATATTCCCACATATTGTCTGGTGTTTTGGTTTTGATAAACTAGTATAAATTCTGTTGTTCTGACAAAGATTAGAGAATAAAACATTTTATTGTTTATCCTACCAACTAGGGCTGAACGATCTATCGCTTTTGGACCGAAATTGCGATTTCAAACAGCACGATCACGTGACCGTCAAAGCTGCGGGTTTAGCTGTTTTGACTGATCCATGATCAGTTGTGTAACTTTATTATTATTATTATTTTTTTACATCCGGGGTTTTCCCCCTGTGTTGTGGCGGCGGCAAAAGCCAGCGCGGGGGAGGGGGGTGGGGTGTACCCTATATTTATGTAGATGGGTGTACCGTCCATAGCCGAGCCCAACTCCACAGCTGACAGAGCTGCACGTTCAGGTAGTTTTCCCTGTTCTATGTTTCCACACACATCGCAGCTAGAGCCGATAATAATGGTGACGGTACAGGATCTGCTCGGGTGCAGGATTGGCTTGGGGTCCTTCGACTGCCGATGACGTCAAAGTAGTTGATTGGCTGAACATGAAGCTTATGGAAGTTACGTTATCACGTTATGATTTTCATTGGTCAGAACAAATTTGCGGTCGTAGTCTTAGCGGTTGTAGTCCTGTAGTCCAAAAATCAACACTTTTTGGAGAAAATATGTTTGAATTTCTGAAGGAAATGTAAAATACAAGCAAATGATAAACGGTGACCCTCAAAAGCTCTTGATGTTGATGAAATGGGGCAAAATAAAATATAAGAACTTTATTGAAAGACACCAAGCAACATTTTGAGTCAAAGAATGTATTTAGATAACAACTAAGGAAATATGACGAACTCCATATTAATACAAACAGATATGGCTTCACATATAAGAACTGTTCTGTTTTTTGTCAGTCCGATGTTGGTTTTATGCAGTTTTACATTCTTTACAAAACAAAGATATTATAGTGTTTTATTAACAAATTACAATTATAAAGAAAAAATTTAGGTGCTAACAAACAAGAATTTATTAACAAAACTGCTGATGTCTTTCCAAAACGTATGTGTGAAAGCCGAGTAGATTTGCAGTAATGTGACGTCATCGGCAGTCGAAGGACCCCGAGCCGATCCTGTACCGACACCGGCACCATAGGTGAGCCAGGGGCAGAGAGAGAGAACATAGTTGAGTAAGGGAGAGAGAGACTCCTCTCACATGGGAGCAGGTTCAGGCTGATTTCTAAAGCTTGGTTTATGCTTCATCAGCGCGAGTGTGGAGTTGCGCACTTTAGTTGACTTGAAAGCTCAACTTCTCTTAAAAATGGTTTGAATGTTTCTGATGGCACACGTTAGTTCAGACAAGCTAAGGTGTCAGAATGTGTGCGTCTCCCTCACGGAACTGATGTTTGAGTGAGAAAAACTATCAAGACGGCTTCGAAAAACGTGCTGCCAGCCTGCCTTGGAAAACTGTGCATCATTTTTATGTTTAATACATTTAAAAGCTATTTCTACCTACAGATTCCGTCCATGCACTTTTGGAGTAGAACATGTTTTTATAAAGCTCCTCTCTAGATAAAAATCACAAGCACAAGTTACTTCACAAACACAAAAAAATAAAAAAAAGATAATAATGAGAGAAAATATTAATAGCTTTAACTGTTTTTATTGTATGATTAAATAGTAAATATTAATGTGAATGATTTGTTGTAGAATCTAGACCCTCTTTTCACTTCATCTACAGGATGGCTTGGCAGGCTAGTGTAGGTCCTTTGCAGAAAATCGTGAATTGAACCGAAACCGCAATTTCTGCTGGAAAAATTGTAATTCAGTCTTTTCTTAAAGTCGTTCAGCCCAACTACCAACACTAATGTAGACTTCAGTTGGTGATTAAAGAAGTTTATTTTAAATTAAAACATAATTTAGGCTTTTATTCTGAAAAGGAGCAGATTAAAAGGCAGAGAAAACTTTTGGAACAACCACTCACTTCAGCCTCACGTTTTCTTAATGTAAGAACCAGAAAGAACTACTGTTTATTTGAGGTATTATATGAATGTGTTTTTGTCTTTATCTTTTTCTTCAGGTGCCGGGGATCAGAACCTGTTCACGTCTCTTTATACCTCATTGGCTCAACAACTTCCCAGAGAGCCAATGGAGTGGAGAAGGTGAGTCCTCCTCTGCTAAAAACATGAAGGAAAATGTAACATGAACTACCAGTTGATGCTAGGATGATACCAAAAGAGGTTTTATATAGGGATGCAACGATACAACTTTTTTCCAAACCGATACCGATACTTGGATCTGAGTACTCGCCGATACCGATTACCGATACCAATACTTCTACCACACAAAAAATGCAATGATTTGGAATACAGATTTTTTTTTTCTCTGCTTTCAACAGAAAAAGACTGTGAGGTAGATAAAAAGTAAAATATATGAATGGAAATCATCACAAAACAAAAATAGGTGAACAGAAATAACAAGTTACAATGAAGCCACTTTCAAGCAACTGCATTGGTATCGGTTCCTGGTATCGGTTAACTTTTACCGATACCGATATCGGCATCGGTGCCGATACTGATACCAGTATCGTATTGGTGCATCCCTAGTTTTATATCAATTGCACAATTGTTCAAATTTTAACTTCAATTAATTTAACTGAGTTTAGTTTCCAAGTGTCATAATCATGTTTCATTTGATTAGCTATGTAATCACCAAACATACCTAAAGTTGTTCCACATTTCGTGCACATCATCACCTACAGAAACTAAATCTCAACATATATATATATATTTGTATTTTTTCATCATAGTGTTGTACAAACTTCTTCACTACGAAAACCTTTAACCACAACTGTTTCTAAATCATTAAAAACTAAAACCCAGCTCCATGTACTCCTATTCCTAAACTTTACCTTCTGGACAAATTGTGTGATGATGAGTCCTTGTAGTTTTATAAACTACAAATAAAACTTAAGCAAGCATCTTTGTTGTGAACTAAATTTACTTTGTATCTTCATTACTTTTGCCGTTCTTTAAACCGTTGAATTTTCCTACTGGGAAGTCAGAATTTCCGAGTACCGAGGAGAACGTGAATGCACCATTAGCTGATAGCAATGGAAGCTAAAATACCAAGCTAACATGATCTAAAACAGGTTATTTACATGCTGGAGTAGATTAAGACAATGAAGCTTTATTTAGATCATCATCATCATCATGATCATCACCCAGTTACCATAACAATTAGTGAGGTGGACCCAAACTTTAGAGATTTTCTCTCTGCTGCCATGCTGTTTGCTCAGTTTACAGCTCGCCCACAGCGACTGATGACATAATGCTCTTGCACATGCGCTGCTGTCTATTTGGCAAATCGCTGTCTCGCAAGTTCTCATGAATGAAGGGCAGGTACCTAATTCAATGGTACCGAAACAAGGCACCATTTTATATCACATAAATCGAATTCTCACTCTAAAATCAAAGTAGTTCATTGATTGATATAACGTTTTAAGTTGATAATTAACCTTACTAGTGACTGACTGAATGTAAGCATTTAACTTATCCAAGAGCAAATAATGATCCACTAGATTGAAGGCTTTAGGAAAATCCATCGACATATATATATATATATATATATATATATATATATATATATATATATATATATATTGGATAATTCCTGTCCATAGGCTCGTATTATAAGTTTTAATCTGAAATCGGAGGTGGCCACCACCCCCATTTTGATTATGTCACACGTCTCGTCACGCCCAGACAATTCCATAAAAGGGAAAAGAGGTGGAGCTGATGGTGGGGCTGTAAGGCTGAGATCAAATGACGACACCGTCAAACTGAAGCGATGTAGCTACAAGCTAACCCAAAGCTAACGCGGAGGTGGGAGCTAAGTTAATGGAGGTAGCTACCTAGCAACAACCGGAGCTAACTGTGCACAACACCAGAGCTTCTGAGTCAGAGATGCGCCGGGCTGACCGCTGGGTAAAACTGGGTGGAACACAGAGGTCCCCATCCGAGAACTCCAAAAGCCGGCATCACGCGCAGCAGACAGGCGCAGCTGCGGTCAGAGATGTCGAGCTGTCGCTGAAGGGAGGGTACCACACTGATAGTCGGAACCCAGCTCCACCAACATGTCATATTTCAACCCATTTTCAAAAATGCAGCATTATGTTAAATGCACTGGGTTTTACCCTATTACATTTAAATTTCATGCTTAAACAGTACATGTTAGAATCTGAGCTCAGCTAGTGCAAGAGCGGCAGTGACCTAAAATACATAAATAAAATTTTACTTACTGAAAAAAATGAAGTGGAGACACCTTGGATGCTCTATTTGTGCAATTAATACCACAGCAATCATTTTGTCCAACAATTGCACAAATGACATCCAAAAAGAACGCACAAACGCTACAACTAATGGTCTAAGTTGAGAGACTGAAACTGACGGAACAGTTTTAAGGCAAGGCCAAGGCTCAGACTGAGGCCTTTCCCCGGAGCTAGCTCAGCGGTCACGTGGGTCTGATGCTCATTAATTTTTCATTGAAAAGGAATTTATCAAAAATATTGCATTAGTCAAAAATTCTTCATCAAAAGTTTTAAGACCACTTGAAAAATGGCCTAAAATCTTTTTTTGCATAGTTAATCTTAACACTTCGAGTAGAGCTTCAACATGCAACAAGTTGGAATGGAAGTGAGACAAAACATTTTCTGAGGATGAAATTTATTGAAAATAATTAGGGATGCACCGATACCGATACTGGTATTGGTATCTGTGCTGATACCAATTCCAGTATCGGTATCGGTAAAAGTTGACCGATACCAAGAACCAATACCAATACAGTTGCTTGAAAATGGCTTCACTGTAACTTGTCATTTCTGTTCACCTAATATTTTACCTTTGTGATGATTTTTATTCATATATTTTACTTTTTATCTACCTCAGTCTTTTCCTGTTGAAAGCAGAGAAGAAAATAAAATCTGTATGCCAAATCATTGCATTTTTTTTGTGTGGTATAAGTATCGGTAATCGGTATCGGCGAGTACTCAGATCCAAGTAGCGGTATCGTATCGGTTTGGAAAAAAGGGGTATTGTTGCATCTAGGGTTGTCACGGTGTGAAAATTTTACCTCACGGTTATTGCGACCAAAATTATCATGGTTTTCGGTATTATCGCGGTATTTTTTAAAACGTGCTACATTTTCAGACAACTAAATAAACCCTGTATATCAGGAAAATATTGTCCTCAGTTTGGGTCTAAATTTAGCCTAAAATGTGTTATTTTGTAATTATGTTGTTTATTTGTTTACATTTTTCCCCTTTAGTCTTTAAAATACCAATATTTGCCCATAACTTCTTATTTTTTGTCTGTTTGATGTCATTTCAACATGGGGGTGTCCGCGACACGGTTTATATGCAGGTAGCGGGCGCTGCGGCTGCTTTATATAGCGACTCGTTGCATTCTCCCTCAACCCAAATCCTCAGATCACGCATTTTAGCTAAAACGCTAACGTTAGCTTGCCTTGCGTTGACTGTAGAGTTGTGGGTGATGGTCACGCAGATGTGTCATGAGATTTGAAGCGTTGCTGACTTTCACAGACACTTTTTCTGCACGTGCTGCAAGCTGGATAGCCGTCTTCTATCTACTGTCCCTCGGCATTCTTCAGATATCCAAAAAAATGCCCATACTTCCCACTTTGTCTTCTTTAAGGGATATTAAATGTCCTGAGCGCTGCCGTCTCCTCCTTTGGCTATTATTTCAGCTTTAGCTTCAAGAAAGTTTTGGTTGTAAACAACAAAGTGCGCAGAACAGATGATACGGTGGCTGGTAAGGGTCAGCGCGCCTACACTGCAGCCATGGTAATCCACCGAGATAATATATATTTTAAAAAACAAGACTGTTATTATTATTGTCAACTTTTTTACCGGGGTTTACCGCTACACCAGTTACCGTGACAACCCTAGTTGCATCCCTAAAAATAATGCTTAAACTGAAACAGTGTTTTACAACAGATCCCGTGTTTAAGACCACGTGTCTTCAAAAAGCCACATCTGTGCAAAAATGTGGATTGATTTTTATTTTCTATCGGGTTGTCGATGTCCTAGTGGCAAAGACAAAAACCACTTTCCCTCTGTGAGCGTGGTCGGGTTGTTGAACTGCGTAAGCAGGGTCTCACCTACACGCCACTGCTGCTGAGGTGGGACTCGGTAAGAGACTGGCATTTAGAATTTCTTAAATCCTGAGGGTTGTGGAACAAAAAGGTTATGGAGGAAACAAAAAAAAATCTAGTGCAAGACCCCCCAAAAATTTCCCCAGCAATGAGCCTCAGGAACCCATAGGGAGCCTAAGTCTCCTCCCTAATTGGTCGGCTCATAGGTCCCCTGAAGAACGAAAAAAAATGAAATGAAATGTAATGTACAGTAATGCTGTAAATCTCAGTCGTTTGTTCTGTGCAGGACTTACGGCCGCGCACCAAAAATGATCCACCTTGAAGCTAATTTTGTCCAGTTTAAAGAGGAGCTGCTCCCGAAGGAGAGCAACAAGGCTCTTCTAACCTTCCCCTTCCTCCACATCTACTGGACTGACTGCTGTGTAAGTAGATCACACACCCACACCCACACACACACACACACACACACACACACGCACGCACACACACACACACACACACACACACACACACACAAATCTCGAGATGCTCAGATTGAATCAAAATTGTGTTGAGTATGGTGGCCTGAACTTTCCTTGTTTACCGTTAGTGACTCGGCTCCTGCAGCTCGTGTAGTTTTCTGGTTATAAACAGGTTATTGTGAAGCACAGACATAATGACTGCTAATGAGAGGACTTGTTCTGCGTGGTTAGGTCATAGCCTGGTCGCTGTCACATGCAGGCTGTTTGGTAAAGTCTGTTTCTCTGCTGGAAGAAACTACCACTTATCTACTCTGCATGTTAGTTTATTCTTATCTGTGGAAAAAAAGGCACAGAGCTGTCATCCACTCACAGAATGGGTATGAGTGTTTTACCTCCTGCAGCTCTCAGACTTACCTCGTAGAACATTTTAGCTTTTCTTTCTGTATGATAAAGGTAAAGGTGGGAGCCTGCGGTCTCCAGCTTTAGTTAAACAGACAAACATGAAGCAGATTGTTAAATAATAATAAAAGAGGCAGGAACATGCTGACTCAGCAGCTGGATAGTTGGAGGAAGTGCTGCTGTGATCTTGTGACTCGTGATGTTTCCCTATAACTGGCTGCAGGGTTGGAGAGATAAATGCGTGTAGAGGGCAGCAGAACACACAGAACTACAAATTGTGACATTTGTTGCAAAAAAGTCTTAAATGTTTCTTAATCTTCTCACAATTGTTCTCATTTGATTGCATATTTTCCACACAGTCACTTCCAACCCTAACCCTACTGGAGCTATCAGTCGGCTCCCCTTTCCCACAGTTATCTCAGTTTCCACACATTATAACTGATGTCAAATAAAACCAGACTGTTTGAGGAAAAGTAAAAGTCGTGGATTTCCTGTAAATAGCAGATTTTTCCTTTACATCCACCTACAGCTTGGGACTGTCACAGATGGACTGCTTACTGAATTAGACAGTGGTCAGGGTGAGCAATGAAATGACCCAAGAACCATCTTTCTCTGTCTGACGGGTAGAGTTAGGGAGTAATAAAGCACACATTTAGCGTCTAATTTCAGTTCCACTGAGGCAAAACAACCAATTGAGTCACAAGAAAGTCAGGCTGAACCAATTCAAAGTCATGAACTGAAAAGTTCTTTGTGCACAACCCTGAAGACCCAAAGGTTCAGATATAGCAGCCAATGATTGTAACTGTTTATTGAACTTATAAAACATTGTGTAACTCTGGTTTCTCCCTGCTAGGAGACCGTTACTTAATGGGTGACTCATCACGTTTATCCCTCCACTCCTCACTTCCGACCAATTTAGAACAAACATCACCCTCGGGCGCCAATCAGCAGCAGTGCTTCATACAGGAAACCCCAGTCACATCAGGCTTTGGTAGATAAATAGCTATATCTACAGCTACAGCTAGCTTAGGTGAACACAACAAAATAGAGCAGATTGACACCCATACTCCCTCCCCTCCCTCTTGTCCCCCTACACCCTCCTGTTGTGTGAGACGGGCAAATGTCAACATTGTGCTACTTTGACTCACTCATCTCTCGAGTTTGAAGAACGTGGCTCACCAACTTCCACCCGTTCTTGTTCGACGCAAGAACAAAATGTGCCGTTACAGTAACGAAGGATTTGGTGGCAACCGATGTCCACGCATCGCATGTGAGCGCTATCCCGGTTGCCTTCTTCATGGACTCCAGAACGCTTGCTTTGTTTTCCTCGTAGAGGTGGGGGACTTCTTTTTCTGCAAAATGTTTTTGGTGAGGAAGTTTATAGCGCGGCTCCATGGTGCGCACCACTAACCGAAACCCCCTGTTGTTTACTACTGAATACTGGCGTAGATCCGTCGCGATTAAAGTAGCTATTGCTTTTGTAATGCTCCTCGCCTTCTCTGAGTTCTTCGGTAGTTTGGAGACAGTCTCCAGGATGGAGAAAGAGGTCAAAGAGGTAGTGCCACTCACTAAACAGTTCGGGCGGCGCGCGCGTCAAGGCTCCGGTTACGTGTTTGTTTTTTAGTACTGGCTTCGCAACAAAACTTTGATGTTATGTTTTTTTAAGCATCATTGTTCATTAATCGATGCTGAAACAACATGTTAAGCTTTTAGATGTCTCACCACATCGATTAATTGCACCCACCCCTACTGCAGGCACACAGCAGCAAAAATGTAAACAAACACGTCTGCTAAATTTCCCCGTGACAGTAGATGTGAAGTTTTCATCCTACAACGAAAATACGGCGCAGAGGACGCTTATTAATTTAATACGAGCTTTAAAGAAGAAACTCTGGGCGGTGTGAGGTTAGTTTTTAAAGCTCGCTGCAGAAATAAAAACACGGAGCATCAATAGTCAAACACAACACTGGTCTGTGTGAGCATGACACTCCTAGATGCCAAAATAACCTGTGAAATAATTAAAGACATCATGCTAGATCAGCAGCCTGTGATGCCACCTGGTTCTGCTCGCTATAAGAGCCGCTTCAGATTTTATTAAATAAATAATAATTTACCAAAAATGAATCAAACCGAGCTCTTCAAAACACTGAACCAAATCGAATACGATGTTAGCGTACCATTACACCCCGAATGTACACAAATATCAGTGAAACAGCACATTTGAATTGGGCTACAACGATTACTTAACATCATCATCGAACACTAATTATCATCAATGCAGATTCTCACCGCTGACACATCGAATGACAGCTTTTCTGCAGCCCTGGTCAGTGTTTGGCATGCTGTGTCCTAAATAAATTTTGCATGTTAAACAGCTGTTTTGTGACTGGGTGAGTTCACCTGAGAAAGGTTTATGATTGGTCAGTTGTAGCGTGATCATGCTGCATGCTCTTGTTCAGATCCTTCCCTTTCCGAGTGTCTGGAAGGACCATCCAGAGTGCAGGATGGGATTTTGGCAAAGGCAAGAAATATCGACAAAACGTCATTAGAAATGGCGACAGACATGTTAAGTTAGAAACTCTGTCTTGAATCTGGCAGCTCGCGGTATTTAGAGGTAGGTTACATAAAAAGCAATGAAGGAACCCATCTAAATCTGTTTCTAGATGTTCCAGCACATCAAATTTAATATAATTCACTCCCTGCCTGGTGAGTGCATGTGTGCTTGGTGTGTAAGTACCAGTTTAATACCTGACCATTAAGGTCTGTGCTGCTGCAGGACACGGAGATGTACAAGAGCTCCGTGAAGGAAGACATGATGCGCTGGCAGAACACCTTACGGACCCACGGCTCAGCAGACTGGGTGATCATCGTCGTGGAAACCAGCGACACAAAGAAGAAGAACAAACCAAATATTCTGCCTCGGTCTTCCATCGTGGACAAGATCCGCAGCGACTTCTGCAACAAGCAGAACGACAGGTGGGAGGCTTCTGCTTTTCTGACCAGCTGATGTAGACACACCTGGAATTAGGGATGGGTACCTTTGACATTTGAATCGATTCAGTACTAATTCCCAGTACCTAGGAATAGATACCGGTACTTAACTACCAATTTTAGATACTTTTGAGTGTTTAATATTTTAATTCTCTTTTATAATTAAATATATATTTTTCTCAATATATAAAACCATATTTGATAAAAATTACGATAAATAACATACAACTGTTTGTATTTTAACATCGTCCTTGTAGTTTTATAAGCTGATAATTAAACTGAAGCAAACATCTTTACTGTGAACTAAATTTACTGTGTATCTTCATTCCTTTTGCCATCCTTTTTCTTTGATTTTTCCTACTGGGGAAGTTAGAATTTCCGAGGAGAAAGCAAACGCACCATTAGCTGATAACAATGGTGGCAATGGAAGCTAACATACCAAGCTAATGTTATCTTAAACAGTTTATTTAGCTGCTGGAGCAGATTAAAACGATGATGCCTCACACTTAGATCGTTGTCACTGGTTTCATCTTCACCCAATCACCCGTCGCATTTAGTAAAGTGAAGCCAAACTTTAGAGCGTGTTCATGTTCTTCTAGTCGGAAATTCGGAGTTCCGAGGAGAAAGCGAATGCACCATTAGCGAAACGGAAGCTAACAAATCAAGCTAACGTTATCTTAAACATTTTATTTACCTACCGGAGCAGATTAAGATGAGGATGTATCATTTAGATCATTGTCGCTGGTTTCATCATCACCCAGTTACCCATCACATTTAGTGAAGTGGACCCAAGCTTTAGCGTGCGTTCTTTCTACCATGCTGCTCTGTTTACAACTGGCTCGCAGCGACCGACGACATAACGCTCTTGCGCATGCGCAGCTGTCTTGGCAAGTTCTCGTTATGAAGGACGGGTACCGAAACGAGGCATCGTTACAAATGATGCGAATCGGTGCTCAGTCAGTACTATGGAATTCGGTCGGTACCTTAAAAAGTACCGAATTCGGTACCCATTGCTATCTGGAAGTAAAAGAGAAACATCACCTTCCTTCAGTCTGTTGTTTTAGACTTCCTTCTTCTGCTACACTAACTGTTAGAGAATCCCTCTACTGTTGCTCAGAGTGGCGTTAAAGACAAGACAAGCACGTGTTGTCCAGAAAGGACAATTAGATCTGGAAGGAAACAGATTTTGTATCTCGTTTAAGCTTAAAAAGTGTGTGAGCTTGTACCGAATTGGGGAGACTGGTAAATCCAGGGAAAATATTTGACTTTCTGAGATTACTGTAATAAATTTACTTACAAATCTTAAAATTGTGAGGAAAAAATAAAAGGAGGGGTGGGGGATTTCAAGAATAAAGTTAGAGATTTACAAAAAGAACTCCTGGATCTTCTCTGATGTATCTGTCGTCTTTAGACTTTACCTTTTAGTCGGTAATGACCCTAATGCAGCAGCCGACCTTTGCAAACCCTCCTGGTTGTTGTTGTTTTGGTCCAGGTGTGTGGTGCTCTCGGATCCTCTGAAAGACTCATCTCGGTCTCTGGAGTCGTGGAACTCCCTGCTGCTGAAGCTGCGGACCCTCCTCCTCATGTCCTTCACCAAGAACCTGGGTCGGTTTGAAGACGACATGCGTACGCTCCGGGAGAAACGCACACAGCCTGGATGGAGCTTTTGTGAATACTTCATGGTCCAGGTAGAATAAACACAGCAGCAGGTGGATTCTTCTGTAGGACGACTAGAGGATGTAGCATGAATGGTTGAGAAGTGGAGATTAAAACGTGCTCTTTGCGTCGCTGCAGGAGGAGTTGGCCTTTGTTTTTGAGATGCTACAGCAGTTTGAGGACGCCTTGGTCCAGTATGATGAACTCGATGCTCTATTTACTCAGTATGTCCTTAACTTTGGAGCTGGAGGTATGTTGGGTTTCACTCTGTTTCTGGATTTCTCTCTCCGTTTCATAATCAGATGTGCTTTTTGTCTCTGTGCAGACACCGCTAACTGGCTCGGCTCCTTCTGTGCTCCGGTGCGTAACTGGAGCGGTCTGCTCCTCCGGCGGCCCATCGATATGGAAAAGAGGGACAGCATCCAGCGTGGAGAGGCCAGTCTCCTTGACCTGAGGAGCTACCTGTTTTCTCGTCAGTGCACTTTACTCATTTTCCTTCAGAGACCCTGGGAGGTCACTCAGAGAGCTTTGGAGCTGCTCCACAACTGTGTCCAGGAGCTGTGTCTGCTAGAGGTGGGTTCACACCTCCTCCCCTCATTTCAAACGACCCACGCCATCAGTTATTTGAAAAGGTCTTTCTTCCTGTCCTTGTGGAGGTGTCTGTTGTTGACGGGGCGCTGGACTGCTGGGTGTTTCTCAGCTGCTTGGAGGTTCTGCACAGGATCGAGGGCTGCTGTGATCAGGCTCAGATAGCTGCTAACTGCTCCCACACCGTCGGACTCTGGGCCTACGCCACAGACAAGGTAAAAGAACAAACACTTGTGCTTCCTTAGTTTGGTGTGTTTTCAGCTCTCACCAGGAAGAAGAACTCTTGTATTACCATCTGTGTCCACCGTCCTGATAAGAGACTATTTATAGGATTAATGCAAAAGACTTTCTTCTGTCTAGTTTAGGGTTGTCACGGTAACCGGTGTAGCGGTAAACCCTGGTAAAAAAGTTGACAATAATAATAACCATCTTGTTTAAAAAAAAAAAAAATTATCTCGGTGGGATTACCGTGGCTGCGGTGTAGGCGCGGTGATCCTTACCAGCCACCGTATCATCTGCTGAAGTTGCCGGCGGCACACATGCACACTTTGTTGTTTACAACCAAAACTTTCTTGAAGCTAAAGCTGAAATAATGGCCAAAGGAGGAGACGGCAGCGCTCAAGACATTTATTATCCCTCAAAGAAGACAAAGTCGGAAGTACGGGCAATTTTTGGATATTTGAAGAATGCCAAGGGAGTTTATAGAAGACTGCTATCCTGTTTGCAGCACGTGCAGAAAAACGTGTCTGTGAAAGGCAGCAACGCTTCAAATCTCATGACACATCTGCGTGACCATCACCCACAACTCTACAGTCAACGCAAGGCAAGTTAACGTTAGCGTTTTAGCTAAAATACGTGATTCGAGGATTTGGGTTGAGGGAGAATGCAACGAGTCGTTATATAAAGCAGCCGCAGCGCCGCCACCTGCATATAAACCGTGTCGCGGACACCCCCATGTTGAAATGACGCTATGCATTACGGGGCTCCCAGGGGCAGATAAGAGTTGGTCTCTCTCCGAGAATAATTATGAATCATCTGATCTAATATTTTTAAAATTATGACATCAAACAGACAAAAAAATAAGAAGTTATGGGCAAATATTGGTATTTTAAAGACTAAAGGGGAAAAATGTGAACAAATAAACAACATAATTACAAAATAACACATTTTAGGCAAAATTTAGGCACAAACTGAGGACAATATTTTCCTGATGTACAGGGTTTATTTTGAAAATGTAACACTTTTGTAAGGGAAAAATGAGAGGTTCTTACATTTTATTTAATGACCCGTAAGGCGTGGGATTCCATAGGAAATATGAAATCTGCCTCACGGATCGAGGGTTATTTAAACTAGAAGATCGCAACTTTTTAATGCAGCGATTATGTAACCGTTATGTATTCACTCAGAGACAACACAATAGAAAGAGTCAAGTTTAAAAGTTAAGAATTTTATTACTAACAATTAAACTAGGCTGACTTCAGAACTAAATGTATAGTGTTACTAAAAATGGATGAGACGGTGAATGGATGACGTGTCATGTAAATCAGAACCCGCAAATCCGGAGACGCGATTAGTTCTGACGGGAACTGAAGATGTTGGTTTGGAATAAGCTTGGGTAGTTTCAGAACCGCATGAGACACCATCAAGTCGCGCCTACCTGCCTGGTGGAAGTCCCCTGGTGAGATCAGGAATGCCGAGGTCCACCTGGACCCTCTCTGGACACCGAGCTGGTAGAAGAGCCGCGGTTCCGACCAGACCCGTCTCGAGTTACCTCCGGCACACGACTCTTTTCTTGGTGTCTGTTCAGACCCAGCCTGGGTCGGTGGAGCTTTTATTCTGAAAGGAGCTGTTGCCGCGCCTAGTTGTTGTAGCGACTGGATTTTCTCAGCTTGTCGTGGTTCTTTCGGTTGGAGAGTTAAAGGTCGGATTGGCCACTCCGGCGCTTGCTCTGGAATGCTTTGAACTGGCGTTAGAGCTGACGTGGCGTAGTTTTATACCTCGGATGTTATGGTTTATTGTCGAATGAAAAGTACCAAACACCGTCAGAAGCATGCCTCCGTCAGATCTGTAAGATTCTGATTGGATCAGTGAAAGAAATGTGTTATGTCTTTGTAACACTACGTGAAATGAGTCCTGTTGGAACATTTAAAGTTACATCACTTCATTTCTAAGATCATAATAAAATAATTAATATTTTATTTTCACAGGTCGGTCACATCTTATATTGACTAACACTTTGATGGATTAGCTTTATTAAAATAGAGTTCTTTGATTAATTAAAAGAAAAGAGTTCATTCTTCTTTCTTCTGTCTTCATTGCTGGAATGTAAACAGTTTGGAAGCAAATGCATGACCTTGAGGCTGTTTCATGCACACTGGCACTGTGTCAAAAGGAAACAGCTGTTAGGGTAGAAATGGCTCCTTCATCACGTTACACGTTTAAAAAAAATACCGCGATAATACCGAAAACCGTGATAATTTTGGTCACAATAACCGTGAGGTTAAATTTTCACACCATGACAACACTAGTCTAGTTTCATCTCTAAATGCCATGTTCATAGAGAAGTAACACCCATAATAATCATCTAAAGTCACAGTTTTCTTGTATATAGGGATGCAACGATGCCGCTTTTTTCCATACCGATACGATACCAACACTTGGATCTGAGTACTCGCCAATCCGATTGCTGATTCCGATACTTCTACCACACACACACAAAAAAAAAATGCAATGAATTGGAATACAGGTTTTATTTTCTTCTCTTTCAACAGGAAAAGACTGTGAGGTAGATAAAAAATAAAATATATTAATATAAATGATCCCAAAACTAAAATATTATGTTAACTGAAATGTCAAGTTACAGTGAAGCCATTTTCAAGCAAATGCATTGGTATCGGTTAACTTTTACCAATACAGATACTGTTATTGGTACCGATACCAGCATCGGTATCGGTGCATCCCTATTTATATCAGCAAACATCATGTAGTTGTTTCTGTTTGTTGTCAGCTGAAGTCTTTGGGGGTACTCTGTGGCCTGGTGACCAAGAAGGAACCCACATCCGAAGATCTGAACAAGACTGTGGATCTGCTGGCAGGACTCGGGGACGAGAGACCTGAAACTGGTCCGTCAAGCATTGAATCATTAAAAAATACCTTTTGAGTTGCATACTCCCAATTCTCATGAAGCATTCCAAAGATTCGTAGATTTGGAATGTAAACAAAGCTAGATAGTTTACGAATGTCCTCCGTCCTCCACAGTCAACAGCTTGCAGAGCCCTTACAAGAAGCTGAAAGAAGCCCTGTCGTCCGTCGAAGCCTTTGAAAGGCATTATCTTGTAAGTCACTCACAAACACGGCTTGTTGTTGGCAAAGAAGGAACTGCTGCACCAGTTTTTTCAATCAATACAGCCTCTGATGTAACGTTGTTGAAACGGTTGAACTGATTACTTTCCTCTCCTCTCTTCCTCGTTGGCCCCGTCTTGCATCAGGAACTCTCTCATGCTGCTATGGAAATGTATCAGGCCATCGGCCGGATGAGGTCGGCCAGGCTGGTGGGGAAAAGCCTGGCTGAGTTCTACATGTAAGGAAGTCGAGCTTCTGCTTCTGTCAGGGTGTTGTCACCGCTCACATTTATTAGAAAGGTCAACAGCACCTAACCTGCTGTTTCACTGTTCTTTGGCTGATTAGACCTTTTCACAGCAGCTGCCAGCCAGGGACCGGCAACAGAAACAAATGTTTCTGGAAAAAGGTCCAATCAGGCAGAGTACATAAAATGATCTTGTTAAAGTCTGACTCTGGTGTGATTTAAAGGCACTTTTGGTTATTTTTATGTGTAAAGTTGTGAAAAAACCTGTAGAGAAATGGCGTTTATGTCCAACAGGACTGATAAATTAATGGCTAGTCTGATCTGGCTAAGTGTAAACTATGCTTAAAGCTCGTGTAACATTTCTGTGTTTGCCAGGAGGAAGGGGGACCCTGAGCGGGCTGAAACCTTCCTGCAGGAGGCTTTAAAGTCGTACGTATCAGAGGGGTGGAGCCTCCCGGTGACCCACACCAGGAGGCAGATCGCCGAGTGTCAGAAGCTGCTGGGCAGAACAGAAGAGTATCCTTAAGCTTCATCCAACTGAACCTGCTGACAAAAGCACCATAAGGAGTTCATTAATAGTTTATTTTAATGATGGAATTAATGCATGTAGTTATTACGTTCTTTCTAGAGGAAACTCGAAGCTTTTTCGTGGAATATGTTTGAGGGATTAATTATTATGACTTGAGTTTGAGTTTTAAGTCAGTCTGGTTGGTTTCATCACAGCGAACAGGACTCCGCAGTAGCTGGTTTCCTTGACAACCAGCTGCAGCTACTTGCAGACATGTGCCTTGTTGGCTGGTGATGTGAATCTCACTACAGAGGAAAGAAAGCACTTTTGTCAAGAAATTCTCTCCTTTGCTGGAAAGTCTGGGGACCAGTGTAAGTCCTGGTGTTTATCACTGGTTTGTTTGGGGAACGAACAAAATGGAAAAGTTTTTGTGGAGAAAAGTTTCTCCTGATGTTTGCAAATGTAAAATCCTGACCCTCAGCAGCATCTTTGTGTCTCCTACAGCACACAAAGTGTCTCTCAGCATGAATGTTTTCACCCAGCTGACACGACTCCAGTTCCACCCCGCCACGCTGCTGGTGCACACCGGGGGCGTCCTGCAGGTGGAGCTCACGCTCAAGTCTTTGATGCCCATTTCAGTTCACATACAGCAGCTAGCTGCTAGCATTCACTTTGACGTGGATCACGGAGGGACTCTTGGGAGGTCCAAAGGAGTAAAGAGACAAACAAACCAGGGAACGGTGGAGTTTAATCTGGGGAACCCATCAGCAGGACCGACCTCCTTCACGGGAAACAGCCGTGTTTTAGAAATGGACGAGATTCAGGACAGGAGTCCTTCGGACAATTCTCTCAACGCCACAGGACTGGTGTGTAAAAACGCTCACCTGCTCATACGTCGCCATGGCAACAGCTCCCCTTCTGAAATGGCCAAATGCGTGAGCCCCCCCGCTGTTGCTATGAAGGAAGGAGATCAGATGCTGAAGGTCCAGGATGTAACATTAGAACCTGGAGAGAACAGCATCATCTTCACCGCACCAGTAAGTGGGCCTCTTGACTCGTCTGACTCTCGTTTTGCTGCATCGTTCTCACGTCTCCTCTGGCTTTTCCTCAGAGCGGACAGCCAGGGTCGTACACGCTGCGGCAGCTGTGCGCCACGGTTGGGGGGATTCAGTTCGTCCAGTCTCACGTGTACCCCTCGGTCCGATACGAAGTGTACTCTCAGGAGCCCCAGCTCACCGTGGAGCCGCTCTCAGGTCTCAAGCTTCTGTTTGAGTAAAATCAGAGGAAATTCATTGGAAACTGGTGCTTGTGATTTTTAAATTCTGCACTTTTGACATTTTGTTGTTTGTGTCTTCAGAGCCTCTGTTGGCAGGTCTGCCTCAGGTGGTAAAGTTCACCCTGCTGACGGGTCACTACACTGTGAAGAAAGGAGATGCTCTGCAGCTCAGCAACACAGACACCATGCCCATCCTGCCCTCCACCAGCTGCACCGCCCGCATCAGCAGCCCTGCTGCCGGTCAGCCATTACATTTTAAAGTCTTCGCACTTTTAAGGTGGTTTCTTCAACTCTTTTTTTCCCTGTAATGTAATCAGAGCTGGTGGGTGAAAGCGTCCTGTCCATCCAGTCCTCTGAGAAGGTAACCAGCATCAGCCTTCCTCCCACCCCTCCCTACCACACTCTGGACTTCCAGTTGGAGGTTTTGTGCATCATCCCGTCTGGGTTGGAGCAGCCGGCCAATGAGAGGCTGACAAATGGAGAGATCCGCCATCGTCCACGCAGCTACAGTCATCCTGATACACCAATGACCGCTATTGACCAGAGGGTGAGAGAAACAAGAGGGTTTGAGGTTAAAGATGCAGCCTTCGTTTAATCTACCTGTGGGTAGCAGCTCAGATTGCAGTTTGTGAGCGAGTAGATTAAGGCTGCAGTTAAAGGGTGACCGTTTGTGAAAATGAGATAAGTGTAGAAATTTGACTAAAAGCTTAGAGCCTGTGGATGACGGCTTTAATCAGCCAGCTCTTTTTCCGTTGCTCATCTTTTAATCCCTAAACTTTTAAATGACCTAGCATCCATTCCTCCCTTCTGATCAGACCTTCTGGAGAATGTGTTTTCTGGATCGGAGGCCGCTTTGAGCTGATGGGAAAAGCTAAACGTATATAGCCTGGCAAGCCAGACTAAATAAATGTATTATTTAGTCTGGCAACGCTCCATTGACGGCTCTCAGTTGTGGGGCGGGTTCTACCGTTGTCTTTCAAATGATCTCCGCATGCTACTGGACAATGAATGTGACATACTCACCGCAACAGCTATCGGTAAATGAGGCGGTCTGCAGTTGAAGAAGGAGAAAACACATCATTTTTTTCTAAATAAAAGCACTTGAATACATCTATCTGCTCCTGATTCTAATGAAGCCCAAGTTCTAATAGTCCAAAATTGATGTAAAAGCCGTTTCAAACGAGCTGTCGCTATCTTGTTTCACTCTGTTGCGTCATCCCACCCACCAGGCATATAGATTGCCCTGATTGGCCCACAAAGCGGATAAAGCTCTGTGATTTGTTCACTAAGCAGATAGAGCACTATGATTGGCCCACCATTATAGACCAATCACAGCTCTTTATGTGTTTGAAACTCCTCTAGAGAGCTGTGATTGGCCAGCCAGAATGCTGTTAGGGGCTGCAGAGGTTCCAGTGGAGCGTTCCTAGACCAAACTTTGCAAAGCAAGAACTTGGTCTAGTTCACTAGGCTAAAACTTACATGGTCATTTTAAGAAATCAAACCAGCAGCCAATGATTTATATTTGCTTTGGAAATCCATAATGTAGGTGTTTAATAAAGCTTTAGATGCTTCTGTGTGCAGATGTCCATCGACTGTCCGTGGTCCATCTACTCCACACTGCTCACCCTCACCTTCTACATCCCCTTTAAGACCAAACACTCGCTGCTTTCTGCTGGAAACAGGTGGGGCTCCATCATCTAACATGGAGTTTGTGATGCTCCTTCCTTCCCTCACACTGTCTGACCTTTGACCCACTCTTTCAGAAAGTACATCCAGGTGTGTGTGCAGAACATGTCGGATATGAACTTCACGCTGGCTGAAGTGAAGCTGACAGAGAAGCAGCACGCATCACTGGAGCTCCAGTCATTCAACACTAAAACACATCAGGTGAGAGGAAAGGGAGCGACGTGTCGTCTGCAGGTTTGGCTCCTAATGGAGCCGATTCATCTGCTTATTGGTAACAATTATTACTAATGTGCACTCAAAAAGTTTTTTTTTATCATTTCTTCTCTTTGAAAAGCATCCCTCCAAAATAAAAGTCTATAAGTGATTAATGCAACGGACCTATGATCTTGGTTAATGTAGTACATCGAAAAGCTTCTGTGTATAAAATAGGATGCCTAACTGTTGTGTTGATTTTTGTATGTGTATGTGTGTGTGTGTGTGTGTGTGTGTGTGTGTGTAGCTCCTGTGCAGTAAACACAGTGTGTTCTGCCTGTGGGAGGTGATGTGGAAGGATGACCTGCCCTCCTGTCTGCAGTGTGTTTTCTCTGCCACCTTTTCTCCAACCAACCAGGACACCTCTGCCTTCAAACCGTTCCACTACCAGTTCCAGCTTGAGAGAGTCACTGTAAGACCTGGAGAACGCTCACATCTGCTTTAAAAATGGGAATTTTAGAAAGTTTTTTTTATAGAGAATCACTATTAAAATGGTACAAGTTGAAGACCACCATTATAACATCCCATCCTTCTGTCAGACATTGTACAGTGTGCGAGCGGCGATCTCTCCTCCTGCCAGTGAGCAGCACTGTCGCTGTGGTTTGCTCTGTGGACTTGAGGTGAGTATCACCAGACTCACGGAGCCATCAGAGGGGGAGATCACAGAGGACAGCAAAACTGACACAGATGGACTCAAAACCACCAAACTCATGTATGAAGGTAAAAGCAGATAAAATGTTTGAAAGCCATAATAGGACCCAAAAATGCTTCATAACACGAATGTTAACCTGGTTTTCTGGTATTTTTGGGTAGATGATCACTAAGAAAGGCTTCTGCTCTGTTTCTGTGTGCTTGTCAGTGGCAGACAGCAACAGTAACTGGGCCGTGTGTGGGAAGAGTTCAGGCATGGTGCTGATGCCGATGAAGGCCAACGCCACCCACAGGGTGCAGATTGAGGTGATGCCTCTGTTTGCTGGACACCTGCCTTTCCCCAAGATCAGAGTGCTTAAATACCTTCCTCACAGCGCTGCGGCGGCCATGCAGCCAGACCCTGGTGAGACGCCGCCACTCACTCACCAGCATTTACCACGATCAGCCTCAACTGCCAACTCAAAATTCAGATTGCATTTATTTGTCCTGCTTCATGAATGCAGCATTAAACGACTTTGAGCTAAGTGCTAACTCATGCTAGCGCGCGCGCACACACACACACACACACACACACACACACACACACACACACACACACACACACACACACACCTCTTCCATTTGGGGTTTTTACTTGCAGAAACATGATTTTCTGGCTAATCTGATTCTTCAGAAGATGATCTTCTCGTGTTTGTTCAGTTTGGCCCAATTTGTTGTCAGTCCTCAAAACCATCTCTGTAAATTAGACCAATTCATTACAAAGCTGGACATGTTTTCAGTCGTAACTACTAGCAGTAAAGCCGGAGAACGTTGGCAGCTAGTTGGAGACACAGTTATACAAATCATCATTTGAAATCACTGAATCAGCACATTGGACAGCTGTTTTCTTTTGCCAGTCCTCCTAGCAGCCGAAGTTTGACTTGAGTGATTGTCCAAATGTCCCCGGGTCTCAGCAGCAGCTGACAGACTCCTGCTGACCTGTCCCCTCACCCCGGTGTGTGATGAGTCCGTTTCTGTCCACCCACAGACAGCTGCATAGAGAACGACAGTCTGTCCCTGCTGGACAAGACGCTCGACGACCAGGCCGACACGGCGAGCATCCGCAGCCGGGGCAGCGTCCACTCGGTGGGCAGTAGCGACCAGCAGCAGAAGGGCGTGGCCATGCCTCGCCTGGAGCCTTTCAGCCCTGGGCAGGTGTTCAACCACAGCCGCACACAGCAGGTCCTGGTGCTGCCTGCCACTGACGACCACATCATGGAGGTCAACGCCACATGACCCTGGGGGTGAGACGGCCCACGACCTTATTGTGAGACTTAACCCAGACCGGCTCCTCTGAGCTCTAGGTCAGGTCCGGGCCGGGTCCACACATCAGACCCGTACGGACCTTAAGTATGAAACCTTCACATCACTGAAGACATGGCGGACTACACAGTGACGAGCCAACTACTACTACTGCTGATACATGAAAACAAACTGTTCCCTGCCATACTTTGTACATACCTTTGAATGGATTTATAGATATAAATATATATATAAATATAATTAAATCAAATTGGCGCCTGCCGTGCTATTTTGAACTGAACAACATCACTCCTGATTGTCCCATGATGCACCAAAGCCCTAGGTGTGTGTGTGTGTGTGTGTGTGTGTGTGTGTGTGTGTGTGTGTGTGTGTGTGCGTGTGTGTGCGTGTGCGTGTGTGTGCGTGTGCGTGTGCGCGTGTGTGTGTGCGTACGTGCCCTGGCCCTGACTTGCTGTAACTGAGTGGCTGGAATTTCTGGGTCTCTTTAGGTGGGTTTGCATTTGAGACTTTTGTCCTGAAGACAAAAACGTTGCAGGATCCACAACCCTGCTGTACCCTCAGTGCAACAAAGACTGTGTTAAAGCAGGAAGTTGGCTGTAGATGTAGATGGTCATCTCCAAAGGCAAAACTAAACGTCTACTCGCTCCTACTGAATGTTCTAAGATATCAATGTAACTGAAAATACATCATGCTGTTTATTTATGTAATATGACCACATTGTTGAGCCAGCCTTGATGAAGAAAACTTTTAGGATAATTTATTTAACAAATTTTAGAACGAGGAAAGCAAATAATAGAAATACAGCAGCTGTTATGTTAAATTTGGATTTAGGATGATGGAGAAATGTTTATTTTTAAGCGTAAACATTAAAACAAAAGTCTCAGACTCTGACTTCTTAAAGAGGCTCAGTGTGTGTGTGTGTGTGTGTGTGTGTGTGTGCGTGCGTGCGTGTGTCTGCTCTGGTTCTGTGTGAGCATGAGTGTGTGTGAACAGGTGTTCCTATACAGTGCTACATGTGCATATTTATTGTGTGTGTTGCTAAATCTGTGTCCGAGCTATGCACACATGCTGCTTATGTAGAACAGATGAAGGAATTCCTGGATTTCATGTCTCTGAGAGGATGGATGTGGACCTCTGACCCCATCGCTCTACTTTTGACCTCTGTACATACTGATCTGTACATAAATGATTGAAATCAAAAAGGATTGCCAAATATATTAAGAAAGAAATAAGTGTAGTTTCCTGATTGGTTAGATTTTATGACACTTTTACCAATAATAACACCTGAAAGGGTTTGGGGGGTGATAAAGGGCAGTGCTGGTCTAAAAACCAATAAGTACGGAATTTCAGGTAAATCAGAAATTTTCCTTTATTAAATTAATCAAATTATTATTCATTCAAATGCCCAGACAGCAGTGACAGCACAGTTAAAATGCAGGAATGCAGCTGCGGTATGTTCATTCAGCTGGTTTGTAAACACTCAAATCTGATGCTAAATCATTTTAGTTTAAAGTAATGCAGCAGTTTTCTGCTCCTCTGCCCCACTGGTTGAAAGTGAAATTACAACTACAGTAAAAAACTGCTGCAGTCTGCTGTAGCTAGCGCTAACAACAAGCTAACACTAACATGAGCCGAGTCTTACTAAATAAGGCACAAATCAAAAAGATCTGCACTTGGACAAACAATATTATTACTGTAGTCTACCAAAAGGCCAAGTATTTCATCAAAAGGCCCAAACTACTTAGTTAACTCCATAGGCCAATCTGACACCGTGATGACAAGATGAACTGGCGTGGTCTCCAATCCAGAAACTGGTCAGTGACCTTGTTGCCAAATAAGGGAGCCACAATAAGTCCTCCTCCTGTCCCCCCTTATCTTAGCTGGAAACCCAAGGTCTCCTGCAGAAGACGCCTAATAAAGCTTATAATTCTTGGCTCAGTAATGACTTTAAAACCTCATATAATCGTATTCTGTTGAATGAAAAATTTGTTCTAAATCCAAAGTGTTTGATTAAGTGAATACATTACATTAGTGAATGATGGCTTAAAATGAATATTTTTCCTGTACTGATTTATTTCAGATCTTAAATTACACCAGATCAGTAATTGTTAATTCTAGTAATTTAATCTATCAGTATGAATATAATAAATATAATATTATTATTAATGTGTGGCAGCGTGAGTGTCCTGTCACAGTGTCCCGATTGATCATGCGCCCTGGCTACTTGGCCAATGGGATGTCCCTTTGGCTGACTGGTTAGAGCGAATGACTCTCCCCCGGGAGTCTGGGGATCGAATCCCGCCCGGGCCCTCGTTTCTCCACCTTGCCACATTTGGCGTTGTTGGCAGGATCCATGTAGTACTGTCAAGTAGGTCCATGGGTGTGGAGTTTGTGGCACCCTGCGTGGGAGCACGAGGACGTGCTTGTGGAAAGAGGGGTGAAGATGTGGCAGTGTGAGAATCCTGTCCGTGTCCCGATTGATCATGCGCCCTGGCTACTTGGCCAAGGGGATGTTCCTTTGGCTGACTGGTTAGTGCGTATGACTCTCACCTCCCGCCCACCCGGGCCCTCGTTTCTCCACCTTGCCACAATTGTTTAACTTTTTTGCTCCACATAACAGTTATAACATGTTCACTTCACACTAAGAGTTAACCTCTTAAGTATCTGAGTGAGGGAGTAATTCTCTGACATCTTTGTTAACGCCCTTTGAACTTGTCAAATTCTGATTTGTCTAAATTTGTCAACAACAGTTAATAAATATAGGGATCACTTCCTGATCCCTCAGTTCTTTGCCAGTTCACTCGGTTAGGCCGATTGGGTGACCAACGTGTTTGGGATCATTCTCTCTTTTGACCAAGGTCACAGTCGCTCTGCAACGCTTGTGAGTGATATCTGCCACCACAGCCTCAGATGTGGAACGTCTAAGCTGCAGACCCTGGCAGTATCTCATGGGTGGTGATATCTGAATTCAAAGGGAGCTACAACTCTTTGAGATTCCTGTAGCCACAGAGAACTCACCACTCTGGCTGCTGCAATAATAGAGGTCAAACGATTACTATAGGTCTTTACCAGGTTTGCACACACAGTAGCTGGTATTTTGGCCCATTCCTCCATGCAGATCTTCTCGAGAGCAGTGATGTTTTGGGGCTGTCGCCGAGCAACACGGACTTTCAACTCCCTCCACAGATTTTTTATAGGGTTGAGGTCTGGAGACTGGCTAGGCCACTCCAGGACTTTCAAATGCTTCTTACGGAGCCACTCCTTTGTTGCCCGGGCGGTGTGTTTGGGATCATTGTCGTGGTGGAAGACCCAGCCAAGTTTCATCTTCAAAGCTCTCACTGATGGAAGGAGGTTTTGGCTCAGAATCTCACGATACATGGCCCCATTCATTCTTTCCTTAACACGGATCAGTCGTCCTGTCCCCTTAGCAGAAGAACAGCCCCAAAGCATGATGTTCCCACCCCCATGCTTCACAGTAGGTATGGTGTTCTTGGGATGCAACTCAGTATTCTTTTTCCTCCATACACGACAAGTTGAGTTTATACCAAAAAGTTCTACTTTGGTTTCATCTGACCACATGACATTCTCCCAATCCTCTGCTGTATCATCCATGTGCTCTCTGGAAAACTTCAGACGGGCCTGGACATGCACCGGCTTCAGCAGCGGAACACGTCTGGCACTGCAGGATTTGATTCCCTGCCGTTGTAGTGTGTTACTGATGGTGACCTTTGTTACTGTGGTCCCAGCTCTCTGCAGGTCATTCACCAGGTCCCCCTGTGTGGTTCTGGGAATCTTGCTCACCGTTCTCATGATTTTGACCCCACGGGATGAGATCTTGCATGGAGCCCCAGATTGAGGGAGATTATCAGTGGTCTTGTATGTCTTCCATTTTCTGATAATTGCTCCCACAGTTGATTTTTTCACACCAAGCTGCTTGCCTGTTGTAGAGTCACTCTTCCCAGTCTGGTGCAGGTCTACAATTCTTTTCCTGGTGTCCTTCGAAAGCTCTTTGGTCTTGGCTATAGTGGAGTTTGGAGTCTGACTGTTTGAGGCTGTGGACAGGTGTCTTTTATACAGATAATGAGTTCAAACAGGTGCCATTAATACAGGTAACGAGTGGAGGACAGAAAAGCTTCTTAAAGAAGACGTTACAGGTCTGTGAGAGCCAGAGATTTTCCTTGTTTGAAGTAACCAAATACTTATTTTCCACCCTGATTTACAAATAAATTCTTTAAAAATCCTGCCATGTGAATTCATGGATTTTTTTTCACATTCTGTCTCTCACAGTTGAAGTGTACCTATGATGAAAATTACTGACCTCTGTCATCATTTTAAGTGGGAGAACTTGCACAATCGGTGGCTGACTAAATACTTTTTTGCCCCACTGTAGATGTTAAAGGTCTAGCTTAAAGTAAAAAAAAAAACATTTAGTGAATCTTTGTGTTAATAGTTTCTCTTTATTTCAGCTGAGTCATGGTAAAAAAAAAATAATAAAAAAAATCAAATCTTTTTCAGGAGAATGCCAAAAGCAACTGATACTTTCAAACAACAATGAAAACCTGATGTTACCCTGCACTTTTGACCCATGGTTGGTATCGTTTCTGTAATAACGCCCAACATAATGCACCTATGGAAGTGTATGAAGTTTAGCATGCTAGCTCATATCGCTCATTAGCCCGGCTCTGGCTTTGCTTTTTGTTCACATGTTCCACGTCAAAAATGTACAATTCATGCTCACAAAGGGAGGCGGGTGAAACTAGATCCAATAACTAGAACAGAATTTTCACAGTGATTGAAAGAAGTTTATCAAGGATTGTAAATTACAATTGTGTCTTATTTTGAAAAAACATCAAATTTATTGGTTCCCATCAGTATGTGATGAGCATTTCAAACAGAAATTGCAAAATGCTCCAGAAAAACATCTCCTACCACAGATTAGACATTGATCTGCTGCTGCTGACACTTTCACTGTAAAAGCAAATGGATGACTTAGTTATTCCACAGCTTTTCCATTTAGATTTTGTTGATTTCGAAAAAACAAATTTTTGAAATATTTTTCCCTTTGGTATGATCATTTTAGAATCTGGAAAAGTGGATAAATGTGTATAATGACTGTTTGGTTCATCATAAAAAATGTCCTTTTAAATTTGCATATCTAAAACAATTGTTAATGTAATCAATTAGCCTTTGATCTGCAGACAGCAATTCAGATGTTGTAGGTCACAAGTTGCTGCGCTCGGCTGACTGAACAAATACTTCCCAGCAGAAGAGCTGTCAGCTGAGACAAGACCTTTTCAACAGGGAGAAAGGTGTTTGTTCCTAGTCGAACACGTCTAGAATTTACAGGAAGAACAAATAAAATGGGAGTCAGGACAGGACAATGCCTTAAAGGGACTTTACGGACTTTCAAATTTTTATGCTCGCGATTACCCCCTCAGGCCAAAAGCGTAACAGCAGCTTCAATATTAGGCTCGTGCACGAGGCGCGCATGCTGTACGTGCACACTCCTTAACGGGAATAACAGCTGATACAGTCCCTTGTGTGTGTGTGTGTGTGTGTGTGTGTGTGTGTGTGTGTGTGTGTGTGTGTGTGTGTGTGTGTGTGGCCCGGAGGACAGAGGACAGGAGAACACGCAGCTAATTAGTTAAATAATTTGGTTCTGTACCTTTCTCTTCAGCACAGCCGACAAAGGTTTATGATGGGTCAGTCCTCCTGCATGCTCAGATCATTCCCTTCCTTTGCTTGAAAAATTGTTCCAAAATGAAAGTTAATCCCACATCTTTTTTATCTGTGAATTCAATGCCGTTCGGCCAGTCTCAAATAAAAATGTGGGCATCTTACTGTAAAAAAATATACCATTAATGTAAAAAAGAAACTCTGAATGAACTATGTTTACATCCAGAATCGAACCCAGGTCTTCTGCATGGGAGTCAGACATCTTAAAATGTGAGCTACACTCTAGTAACATCTATAGTATCTGTAACTTATATATCCTTGATGACACCTGAAACAACGTCAATCCAAAGAATGGTTCAGAGCGAAAATGGCTATTTTTGTTGCTAATTTGCAGGAAATATCTAGAAGAAAGTTCTACAGAAAGTAGCTAAGTGTCCTCAGAAATGTAGCTAGGTTTGTCACCAGGCGTTAGGAACAGCGACAAAGTGGCACTGCCTCTCTCTCTGCTGCTAAAGCTACTGATAGCAAATGCTACGGGCTATGCCTGAGCGTGAACGCGCATGAAGCAGCCTGCTCGACCCGAGCAGCTCTCTTTTTCTGTGATTTTACAGAAAAACAGGCAATCACAGTAAAAATGCCAGGGCTCATTCTACAGGACCAGGGCATTGCAGGAGAATGTATGAAGAAGACATTTATTATTTCTATACATGTTATGGCTGTCAAACTTCCATAATGCCCCTTTAAGAATGTGGATTAAGTGTTTAGAGAAACTGCATAGCTTCAAAGTCAGTTTTATTAACTTCATCCAAAAAGGTTCAAATCAAGGTAACTGGACTTTTTTGGTTTCTTGAAGACGTTTTGCTTCTCATCCGAGGAGCTTTTTCAAAACTGGAATATGGGAGAGTCATAAACTGTAGCTGTTTTCTCCTTGGATGGGAAGCGAAACATCTTCAAGAAACCAAACCAAACAAGTCCAGTTGCCTTCATCCCTTTTGGATTACCGTGACCTGGAAGACTGAGAACCTTCCCCAGCATATCATAATGACGAGGTGAAATAAAGCCCTTGATACTGATATTGAGAAGAATTCAGCCTCCTTTTCGGAAATGTGCTGGAAAAAATGTGTTGTTCTCTTAGGGATTTAATAATGGAGTAAGGTGTAAATACAAAGTTTAAATAGTGGAAGTACTTCCTGTAAAATCTTCCACAATAAAACTCTTGCATTTTGGCACTAGCAACAAGGTCACTTGCGCTAATATTTTTTTTTCAGTTTCAATTGAGTTCAAAACTAAATCAAAATGTGGTTATGTTTAACCCATCAAGCTTCAGTGCTTCGATCTCATAGACATCTTTTGACTTTGTAGGAACGATGAGGTGAAATACCGCCATCTGGTGGAATAACGTGGAATTACATGTCGATTCTGTTGAGAACATTTCAACCTCCTTATCTGAATTATTCTGGAAACAAACGTTTCTTGTCTTTTTAGGATAACATTACGAAAGAGTAAGAGTAGAAAGGCGGAAGGAAACTTATTTTATAAAATTATAAAAATTGCTTAGAAGAAAAACTTTCTCTATATCCTTTCAAAATAAAACTCCGTGGTATTTTGTAAGTAGCAACTGCGTCACTAACAATTTCTTCTGTCTTAATTTAGCTAAAAACCCATTTAAGACTGTAGTTATGTAACAGTTTTAAACAACAGTTGTGTGGAGGCAAAGTGGGAGCAACATTAAACAGCCAGACATTCATCTTTATTAATTCAACGGAAGAAAACAACGAGAAGGGACCTGTTGGATGAAAAAAAGAATCACTGATGAATCACATGATGCAGCAGCTTTTAGTTTGTGCATAACAACAAAAAAGTCACACTCCCACCTAATCAATCAAAGGGTGGTTTAAATGCAAAGAACCACAAGGTAGTCATTCTTTATGCTCTGAGAAAGACGGGGGAGGGGTGCAAAAGACAAAAACTCAGGTTAGAAATCTTGGTGTCATAATTGATTCAGACCTTGGCCTCACTGGTCACATTAAGGCTATAACTAGATCAGCATTTTATCATCTTCATCAAATATCACAACTCAGGGGTCTCATGTCCAGACCAGACCTGGAGAAGCTCATTCATGCGTTCATCTCCAGCAGGCTGGACTACTGCAATGGTCTTTTGACTGGTCTTCCCAAAAAAGCAATGAAGCAACTGCAGCTTATTCAGAATGCTGCTGCTAGAGACTTAACAAGATCCAAGAACATCACTCCTGTTTTTTAAGCCCTACACTGATTACCAGTAAACTACAGAATCAAATTCAAAGTACTTCTACTAGTTTATAAATCACTCAATGGCATGGAGCCAGAATACATGTCAGATCTCCTTTCTGTATACACACCCAGCAGAGCTCTGAGATCCTTAGAAAACAGTCATCGGATAGAACCTCGGGTCAGAACCGATCAGAACCAAACAGGGTGAAGCTGCTTTTAGTCACTATGCTGCTAACAGATGGAATCAGTTCATCATGACCTCAAATGTGCCCCAACTCTAGAAACTTTTAAATCACAATTGAAAACTTTCATGTTTTCATCAACCTTTAAATAAATGTTCTCATGCTGCACCTTCTGCACTGTAACCGCTCAGCCTTTAACGATGTTTCTTTTTCATTTTTAAATAGTATTTTCTGCCACATTGATTTTAATGTTCTTGCTAATGCAAAGCACATTGAATTGCCCCTGTGTATGAAATGTGCTATAAAATAACTTTGTAAAAACATTTCAATGTCTGTTTAAATATAAGTGTGTGTGGGTGTGTGTGCGACTGTGTGTGTGCGCGACTGTGTGTGCGCGTGGTCTTGAAATAATAACTAATAGTTGTTATGTGATGCGTTTTGTTAGAAATAGCAAAATTTTGCCCTTAAAATTTTGTAACTAATGATACCTATTTGATATCATCTATCAATAATTTTATTTAATTTGTTTAGAGAAAATTCCCTCTATGTCTACAGTGGATACCAGCGGGCTTAGTGTTGTAGCTGCTGATAGTTTCTGTATTAGGTCAAGATTTAATCTTGAGAGAAACAATAAAGATAAACTTATTGGGTTTAAGTAGTTACATAGTTAAAAAACATGAATTAACATAAATAAATAAAAATATAGAAATAGAAAAGTGGTTTTATTTTTTTAAATAATTTGTAGGAAGTATTATTGTCTTGTTTAGCTTTATGTGAACACTGCAGTAACAGCGTCTGTCCGCCAGAGGGCGGAAGAATCCTTTCTATCAAAGGCCAGAAGCTAAAGGATTGTTGATTCAATCAAGCTCACATAAATAATACACATATCAAGTTAAACGACACATTAAAAGTAAGTATATTAAAAGTTTATTTAGACAAAATAACTATACAAAACTGCATTTCTATTAGTCAATGGTTGTTTCTGATGTATTTGGTTTAGTTTTTTATTTAAGCAGATTATATATTTTTCTGTAAGACGTATTGAATCTTCTGTTCAAACGTGTAGGCTACCTTGTAAAGATATGATTTATTTAAATCTCTCTCTCTCTCTCTCTCTCTCTCTCTCTCTCTCTCTCTCTCTCTCTCTCTCTCTCTGTGTGTGTGTGTGTGTGTGTGTGTGTGTGTGTGTGTGTGTGTGTGTGTGTGTGTGTGTGTGTGTGTGTTCTTGTACATACTACATACTGAGGGCCATTTTGACTATTTCCTTACAACGAGAGGGCATTTTTGGGGTCCTCATTTTTTTAGAAGAGTACCGGTTTGTTTTTAGAGCTATGGTGTGAATTAAGTTTGAGTTAAGTTTAAGGTTAGAAGTAGATCAGCATTGTTGGAAGGTGGGTTAGGCAGTGGAGTCACAGAAATGAACTGAAGTCAATAGAGTGACCTCACTATGGTCGAAAGACAGCCATGTGTGTGTGTGTGTGTCTTGAAAAAAAACTAACAATTTTTAATCTGACATGATTGATTAGATATTGCATTTGACGCATTGACCCGGCCCGACCTGAGAGCGTGAAAAGCGCTTTGTAAAGCTATCGCAAACGTTTCAATATCCTAATTGTGCAAATGAAAAAGAAACATGTATTTATTTAGCTTGTTGATTTATTGGCTGCACGAGTCTTCCCTATATAGAAACAGGCTCATTTATTGTTTTAATGGTTTATTGGGTCTGAATCAGCAGCGACTGTTCTTCAGCAGACACTTTTGTGAATTCTGACCGGAGAGCAGCCTTTGATCTGGCCGCTCCTCATCAGCATTACCCAGCAGCGGGAGGCTCGCTCGGCGGGTTTAGGCAGAACCAGCAGAACCAGCGAGCAGACGTGATGGGTTCAGCGGTGGTGGTAGCCGCGTGCTTCCTGCTCGGTGTTGGAGCCCTGGAGGACATGCAGACCCAGGAGCGGATCTTCCTCAGCTCTCTGGGGCTCTCAGGGCGGCCGCGGCCCGCGGGGAGCCGGCAGGCCCGGCCTCACGTGCCCTCCGAGCTGTGGAGGATGTTCCGGAGGCCAGAGAGCGTCCAGGCCCGGGATAGTGAGCCCTGCACGGTGTCAGAGTACGGAGTCCCCGGTAACATCATCCGGTACATCCAGGACCAAGGTGGGAAACATACTGTAGTGATATGAGCTTATTGGTTTTTGACGTTGCAAAAATGCAATTTGTGTTTTTGTTGTTATTTAGTTAATGTTTAATTTTATTTTTAACAAGAGGGAAAAATATTAAATGAACAACTTCTGACTTGGCATTTTCTTGTATTTAAAACGATTCAAAATCTCATTTTGGGCATTCTGGGAATTTCAAGCTGCAGCAAAACTGGTGCACTCTTTACAAGTTTCTTGTAAAGTTTGCAACCTCAGTGGTGTACCCATCCCAAAAGTGCCCATGCAAACTGAACACATCTGCAAAATGTGCTGTCTTTGTTCTAGGACTGCAGGTCTAGTCCCAGGTGTTATAATGACCTGTGTGAGGTGCGCCATTATTTATTGATCAGAGTGTTATTCAGTAACGAGGCGGAACAAATCAAATGCATCCGATTAACTTGAAAAAGGGTTCTGGTGAAAAGCCTTTAATTTAAGATGTTCTTTTCAAAATCACACCAGAAAGCTGCTTCAGCAGCACATTGTGTGTGTTCCGCGGAGAGATAATGGCTTGTTTTTCTTCTCCATTATTTATGCTGTCATGCACCCAGTTTCCACTTAAAGAAGGAAGATAAAGCCCCTCCTGTGAGGCCCTGTTTGAGTTTTCCTCTATGTTTGTGTTTTGCAGGAGGGTTTGAGTCTGGATGGAGCAGAAGCAGCTCTCAGATTTCTCTGGAGAAGCAGCTTTTCTTCAACCTGTCTGTCCTGCAGCCAGTGGAGCTGCTGTCTTTGGCCCAGCTGGAGATCAGGTTCTTCTGGAAGCCCCTCAGACCTGCTGATCTCCTGCAGGGCTCCCGCTCCTTCAGCATGTCCCTGTACAAAGTGATCCGAGCCACGCTGAGGGGAGCCGATCCCCATGCCAGCCGCAGACTCCTGCTGTCACAGTCAATCCGGCTGCAGCTGGAGTCCAACACCATCACCATGGGCCTGACGGCGGAGGCAGAAAACTGGCGCAAACCAGGTCACAACTATGGTTTGGTTCTGGAGCTGCTTCCTCTCAGTGCAGATCCAGATGAGTTCCTGTCCTTCTACCCCGGTAACTCTCTCCCTCTGGACCCTGCTCTACCTTCAATCCAGTCCTCTTTGGTGGTTGTGTCTCTGAATCCCCACCAATGTCGCTCTCGCCAGAGACGCAGCACCTTCCACCTCCCTTTGATGCTCAGTAACGTGTGCAAAGCTCGCCGCCTCTACATTGACTTCAAAGATGTGGGTTGGCAGGACTGGATCATCGCCCCGCAGGGCTACATGGCTAACTATTGCCACGGCGAGTGCCCCTACCCACTCAGCGAGAGTCTGAAAGGCAACAACCACGCCATCCTGCAGACCCTGGTGCACACGCTGGACCCACAGGGCACGCCGCAGCCCTGCTGTGTCCCCATCCGCCTCTCTCCCATCTCCCTGCTCTACTACGACAACAACGATAACGTGGTTCTCCGACACTACCAGGACATGGTGGTGGACGAGTGCGGCTGTCGCTGAGAACACAGAAAACTGCTTTTATTTCATGTTTTGGCCTTTTATTGAAAGCCTCCTACCGTCATTGACAAGTTTTGTAACGTTGAATTTTAACCACATGGATGTAATTCAAATGTTAAAAATATTAAATTTTAATCACACGTTGTGGTAACGCTTGCCGTTATTGGAGCATTTTAAAGTGACAGGTTGTTGAGGGTAGTTTTACACCGTAATGCCGTGGCTGTCGATAACGTTACCCGTGGAGCAGAAAGGACGCGACCTCGCCAGGACTCATCAGACTTTAGAGAAAATGCAATGCTGATGCTAGTTTTCTGGTGTTGTACGTCCTGGATCTGCTCGGGGTTCTGAAACCTGCTGATGATGTCATACTACGGCAATACCACTCAACCAAGTATTGCATCTCTTTCGATTCTGTTCTTTCACATGTGTTTTGAAAATAGTTTAGCGGTTTTGTTACCGAATTCATGTTTATTATTACTTAAATGTTTTCAAACGTGGTAAAGTCGTACATCCAGCCGATTATCCAGTGCGATGCCATCGACAGGCGCGGGACCCTGAGCCAGCCAGAAGGAAACATGACGTCTAATCTGGCATCCCCTAAAGAGGCTAGACCCACACCCTTTTTACTTTAGACTAATTTCTAAGGTTATATGTTACAAAGCTGCTAATATTTTTCCACAACTGGAGATCATTTTATTAGTTTTCTACGATTCAAACGTAAAAACTACAGATTGTCACTTTGGAACTTGCAGAAAGTAATGACCTGATTCAAGAACCAATGTAACCATTTAGAAATGTTGTGTTAAAACCTGACAGGTCAGCTTATGTGAAATCTTGTGATATTTTAATGATCTACAGGTCAGATCAGTCACTCGTGTGTTTCTCAGCTAAGTGCTGTCGTGTGTCTGACGCCTCAATTCCTTCACCTTTCTAAAAGATGGCTGCTGAATGTTGGGAATTCCCCAACCAGTCAGAAGTGCTCACAGGTTCCAGATTGGTGCAGAAGTGCTCGTCCTAGTAGACAGTAAGCACTAGGCAGCTGCACCAAAGGATTTCACGTTTGCCCGTAAATGACCTAAATGCAACATTTTCCTAATAAAATAACATCTGATATTTTTTAAATTGCTCTTAACTTTGTTGACAATGTGAGAAAAGCAACATTCCAGCATCAAACGCTCATGAATACACATTCAGACCTTCAAAGCAGGACATGTCTGGCTTCGTAAAAGTTAAAAATCTCAGTATGTGATCAAAAGCTGTCAGTCAGAGCCGAACATAACATCTACTTTATGTGTTTTAAATAGGAAGAGAAAATCAGCCACTTCTACGGTAAAAAAATGTTTTTTTAAGCATTTTAGCTTTTTTTCCCCCTTATCAAAACACACACACACACAAAGAAAATCAGATTCATGGCTCTCCAGTGCTTCCCTGAGATTTGAACGTCTCACTGACCAGGACCTCTTTTATCTGCTGAAATAACCCCCTTATCTCACCATCCTGCGTGATAACACCCCACCCCCTCCTTCACCCAACAAGACAAACCGCTGGGGGTTGCCATGAAGACGGCTGGTCGCCACAGCAACCGGGGGAGTCCAACGGGATGTGGTGATTGCTAAGACTTTGGGGGTGTGAAAAGGATACCAGCAGAGTGTACGAAGAAGGTTCCAGGAGATTCCTGTCATGTTCCTACTGCTGAAATTAATTTCAAAGCAGATTTTTTTTCTGGATTATGAATGAATGACAGCAGAAATTATGAAATGATGAGGCGTCTCACCCTGTAGCACCTGGACCAAAAGCTTTTTGTGGCCATCAACAAACTTGTGGTGAAACTGATATTTGACCTCATGGTAGAGTTCATTCAGAGCAGGTAGTCAGCTGACTGCGTTATGATACATTTAGGCTTCGTTGATGTCGCAGCTTTGGGGAAATCCTTTCCGCTGGAGCTTGCTGTTTTCAACCAGAAACCAATTTGGGGTTATTTTCCTGCTGGAGGGGGTCTTTATTCCATTCACTGTGCAACTAGTCCCACAGCATGATGCTGCCACCACCATGCTGGACAGCGTCATCCTTATTGCCACGTCTCCTCTGACCACAAACCCTTTCTCTAGTGAGCAGGTGCCGCTGGGACAGGAGTTTCTTCTGAAGGTGAAGATGCAATAAGGGTCCTAAAACGTCGGTCAAGCTGCAGCATCGCATATTCAACGTCATTGTTTAACATCTCAGTGATCATTTGACTCGCCAAAAGTAACATTAATAATAGAAGAGCTTTAAAGGGCCAAAATAATTCCTGACGAGCAGAATGTAAAAGATAAATCAGGCTGAAGTTCATTGCAGTCTAAACAGTCATTTGCAGAGGTGTGACCAAGTCACTGCTTTTCAAGTCACAAGTAAGTCACAAGTCTTTCCAGTCAAGTCTCGAGTCAAGTCCAAGTCAAAGACAATCGAGTCCAAAGTCAATAATGTGGAAGTCCAGGTCAAGTCCAAGTCCTTAACTTTGAATTTTCAAGTCATAATCAAGTCATCTGTCCAGCTTTAATTTAATGACAGTGATAATAAATAAATTCCAGAAATAAAGCTTCCTAAACAGCAAGTCACCCCCTACCTGAGTCTTACTCCACTCCCACTTCCTGTTTGAAAAATGCGGTTGCCTGGCAGACCAAAAGGGCGGAGCCGCTAACAAATACACACACAGAGGCTCACAACGACATTGTGATCTCATAATGTACTAGCAGACATCATAGATTTAAATTCGAATGCAGTGCAGAGTTTTTACCTGACGACGGCGCTGCACTGACGGTTTTGGGCAGAATACTTCTATTTTAACTAAGATGCACTAAAGTGTCAAATTATTGACTCCATGTGTTTACAGCACACATAGACACTCATTTATATAGTTTATCAGCAAAAACAAGTTGATTTGGGGGTGACTTGCTCTTAAAAGCTTCATTTATTTGCTCAAACAAGCAGAAAGTGCAACTGAAACTGATTATAAACAAAGTGCTGCAGCATTTAGCAGTAAATCAAACCCAGAACCAAGAATGGTTTATGATTTTTGTCCATGTCGTGCCACTTTTGTGCTAAAATATCAAATATGCTCAAATCACCGTGGTTCTCGACCGGAAAAGAGTGGCTTGCCAACTCCTGGTCCGGAGAGAGGTCCTACCTCAAGTGGAGGAGTTTAAGTATCTCGGGGTCTTGTTCACGAGTGAGGGTAGGAGGGATCGGGAGATCGACACGCGGATTGGTTCGGCGTCTGCAGTGATGCGGACGCTGAGCCGATCTGTCGTGGTGAAGAGGGAGCTGAGCCAGAAAACCAGGCTCTCGATTTACCGGTCGATCTACGTCCCAATCCTCACCTATGGTCATGAACTTTGGGTAATGACCGAAAGAACGAGATCGCGGATACAAGCAGCCGAAATGAGTTTCCTCCGTAGGGTGGCCGGGCTCAGCCTTAGAGATAGGGTGAGGAGCTCGGACATTCGGGAGGGACTCAGAGTAGAACCGCTGCTCCTCCGGATCGAAAGGAGTTAGTTGAGGTGGTTTGGGCATCTGGTCAGGATGCTTCCTGGTCGCCTCCCTGGGGAGGTGTTTCAGGCATGTCCTGCCGGCAGGAGGCCCCCGGGTCGACCCAGGACACATTGGAGAGGTTACATCTCTAATCTGGTCCAGGAACGCCTTGGGGTCCTGCCGGAGGAGCTGGTGGAGGTGGCCGGGGAGAGGATGGTCTGGAGCTCCCTAGTTGGGATGCTGCCCCCGCGACCCGGACCCGAATAAGAGGAGGAAGACGAAGAAGATGTTCAAGTCATCATCAAGTCAACTGATGCAAGTCGATTTAAGTCACAAGTCATTGGCGTTCAAGTCCGAGTCAAGTCTTAAGTCTTTATAGATTTTATCAAGTCAAGTCAGAAGTCATTAAAGTAATGACTCGAGTCTGACTCAAGTCCAAGTCATGTGACTCGAGTCCACACCTCTGGTCATTTGTGATGTTTATGTGTTAATTTTCACTGTCTCATTTGATTCGGTTTTACAGAATAAAACACCAATTTGAACACATCTTTAAAAATCTGAGCATGCTTTTTAATTGTGTTTAATCGGTGGAAATCTGGGTTCAATCACACTGTGACAATATTGTTGCTTTATCCTGCAACCACATGCAACTTTTTCTGAACCGACGCCAGAGATGAATGAAGTGGAGAAGCAGCAGAGGGAGGCAGGAAGAGGAAGGAGCCTGGAGGACTTCGGCAGCTCTTTTCTGTCAAAGTCATTTCCACTTCACCCTCTGGGAGCAGCAGAACACTCCATCTCTAATAGTCAGACTCACAGCAGTGTTTTGTTTCCCGTCTCTAAAACTGAAACAGTATTTCTCGTTCCGACTTTCAAGAGAATCTTCACTCAGTGACAGATGAGCCTTGAAACAAGAACAAAAATCTCATTACTCTTTACATCTCTCTCTCTCAGAGGCCGGACAACAAGACGAAACATTGGTGCAAACCTTTGTTTCAGTTTTGACCAGATGTTCTTATTCCTCACAAGATGACCAGTTTGAGGAGTTATTTTGTCTAATTTTAAAGTAAAAACAAGAGTGTTTCTCACATGATCACAAAAGGGCATCAATTTCATTATGCATCAGAAATCCTATCTCCAGTGACATGATGGAGTCCAGGTGAGCTGAGAATGATCCAGCTTGACTCAAACCAGAGAGCCACGTCTTCTCACCCTGTGGTTCGACTCTCACTTGGATACAGTCCACGAGAACTGAATAATCAATCCCAGTCAAGATGGAGCCAGCATGACTCATCCCGTCTTCACTGGATGTGCCCACTTCCTGTCTCCAGGTCTTCTATCTTTATCACTTTAATGCTGCTGGACGCGGTTATGTTCTAGTCATCTTTGTGCCTCCAGCTTTGGTCTCTGCTGGGCTTCCAAGAGCCTGAAGCTCCAACTCCTTAGACACACAAACTGTTCAGGAGGTCTTCAGTCCAAGAATCTGGATCTCACTAATGAAGACGACTTGGGTCAATCTGCTGAAAACAGGTTGTTCACACCATTGGAAGACTGGAGATTAACTTGTCTCACACACATGCTGGTGTGGTGAAAACTGTCCTCCGCATTCGACCCATCCCTGTGGCGAGTGGTGAGC